AGAATTGAGAAACATGTCTACCCATAATGATAGATCTAAATTTAGAAAAAGATGCTACGTCACGAAAAGTCACAACAAAGTTAAGCGACCAAGAACAGATTAAAACCGAAATATTAGTCACGAACAATGGAAAGTTTAACTGAATAACTCAAGAGTGCAACTTACTGTTATCGTCCTTTTTTGGTATTGATTTTTCACAAAGTGAATGTCTTCTACTTTCGGTTTTCTTAGGGGGTAATCTAGGAACAGCAAACTGAGATTCTTCAATGTTATCTTCGAAGGGAGAATTATCGATATCAGCCAAGCTACATGTTGTAGAGGAACCCTTGCTCCGATAACTTCCTAGCCTCGCGAAAGAAGTAGATCTCAGATAATTGCGTGGCTTGGCCACAACTTTCTTGCACTGAGACATGAACGGAGTAGAAGAAAAAGAAACTGAAGACTTCACGCGGCCGAAAAGGGAATGACGTCGTGAACTGTCGGACCCCCGAGAAGCTAGAAAAACAGAAAGGAGTACAACACAACATCCATGCAACAAAATCAAAATAAAAATGCAAGCATAATGGCAGAAACACAATAGAACTAACCAGTAGGCGAAAGATTCAACACATCCGTATGTCGAGGCGGCTTTGTGTTTGTCATATCACTAAGAATAGAAGCGTCGCATCGCTGTTCATCCATTCGTCTGCTTTGAATCTTCGAAAGCAACTCAAATAGGTCTTCCTGTGCTTCGATGCCTCGTGACTGAAGCAATTTATTGAATGAAACGGCAAAAAGAAATCCATTAGTGGAACTACCTTAGCCTGGCTTGACGAATTACTCAGATCACCGTCACTATGATAAATAGGTTGCCTAGTAATGCCACAATCCTCCTCGTCCAATAAGGAATGTAATGACAATGAAATTCGAAGATGGGCAGGATTTTCATCTGGATCAGCTGTTGAGTCCAATAACATCTGTAATAGATATGACGTAGAGGAGATTAAATAAAGTTTTCCAAACCTCTTTATCGTCCTTAGACAATGAAGTTTTATCAATGGCAAGAAGCTCACGTAGAGAGTCTTGGACTTGTTCGAGCAGAATGTTGTCGTTCATCTGACACACAAACATTTAAAAAATGGAAGAAATGCAGTAAAGGGTAGGGGATTAAGTAGAAAAATGAAATCAAAGACAATAGGCCCTGTTAAGCCTGTCCTGATTCCCGCCCACAAAATTGCGTGATGCATCGAACCTTATACAATTAGTTTAGGCTTAGAAAGAGACTATCAATGTATAAAGCCTATGATTATAAAATAGAAATTACTAAAAACGAGCGGACTTAATAACTACTTATGAGACGAGAATCAAATTCCGAGCTTACCTCCTTTGCAATTTGGCGATGTCTTACAAGAAAATATGCTGACTTAGGTAAATCTCCGAAATTTCTGAAGATTTGAACTTAGTTACTGGCAATAAAAATGTTTTAAACAGCCTACCTATAATCTGAAGCTAACGAAGTGTATGCACGGGCTTCACCTGCTCTGTCTTTCAATAGCCTAGCCAACGACAAGTGAACAGCATGATATTTTGCAGCTGACAATAATAAGTTTTAATGATTCATTCATGAGATATCATACCTGTTTCATAATCACATAGAAGAGCAGCAGCATTAGCCAAACTGAAACAGGACTGAGCTTCTGCGAACTTATCCTTCAAGTCAACAGCTAGCGAATGAGCCAATCTATAAGATAACCACATGAGAGAAACGTCTAAATCCATAGAAGCACCTGTAGTATTCAATCGCCTGCTCTAACTCGGATAAGAAAACATGCGCATTTCCCAAATTAGAGTATGCACGTCGTTGTGCGGCTTTATCACCAAATTCTCTGGCTACCTCGAGACGCTGAAGGGCGATAATAAAAAATTTCATAAATTTTGCACTCACTTTTCTATGATACTCCACAGCTTGACTGAACTCTCTTAATAGATAATGAGTGTTTCCTAAGCAACCGTAAGTTCTTCCACAACTAACACGATCTCCTATATTTTCTGAGATATCGAGACTCGCCCTATATGAACGAATAGAAATTGTTATTGTGTTATTCACTCACTTATAATTATTTAAAGCTTCTCGTAAGTCATCCAAAAAAGGTTGTGACACCTCAGAATTTAAGCTAACAAGGGAAATATCACCTCCAGCAGCCTAAATGAGAATTAAAATTGGGAGGGAAATTGAGGAAAAGCTACTTTCAGCATTCGCCCTGTTTTTTTGCCTTTCATCAAATAGGCGGATGCGAGATTATACAGGGCACGAGCTTCACAAGCCTATGAATAAAAACAATGAGATCGATAATATATATGATTCTCACTTTATCATTTAGACTTCGTGCCAAATCTAGCTGTCTTTTGGTGAATGTTATAGCATCATTAAAACTTCCCTGCAAATGAATTCATATGAAGATATGCCGAAATAAACTAACTTGAAATTTAAAGGCGTTTCCAATATTACCACAAGCTTTAGCCTCCCCAGCAATGTCTTTCAATAGTCTGAAGACGTGAATGAACAGCTTTAGAAACATGACTGACTAACCTAGCTATCAACATATCATAGCAATGATAGTCAACAGATCGTTCATAATCTCGAAGACTAAAAAAAGCATTTCCTAGCTGACTATATATAGCAGAAAGAGTCCGCATATCGTCCGTTCCAATCTTGAGAGCTTTTTCCAAATGTTCGATACCTTGAAAATAAGCATATGAGCTTCGCCTAAGGCACCCATCTATACACATACCATTCTTAATATTATTGGATTTACATAACCGCTCTCCTTCTTGAGCCCACTCAAGGCACGTTTGAAATTGTTTTGAAGTTTCACATGGTTTCATTACGGACTGAAAAAAAATCGTCGAAAAAATCAGAATAAAGTAGACTGAAAAAGAGAGCCTCACGGCGACGAAAACAATACAAAATTCGGCGCTGTTCTGTTAGACGCTCGTCATAGGCTCCGCCCATTATTTTGTGCGCGATAAAGCAAACCATAGCCTAAGCCCCCGGTTCAATCCTAAGCATTTTAAAGGAATAAAAGTTTATCAACATTAACAATCAATCAACAAAAACATGTGTATCCAAAAAGAATTCCTTAATATCATTTAAAATTTCCAAAAAGATATCTTTCTCTCTATTTCGTCTTCTGTACACGAACTCTCCTATTCTCATATAAACTGTACTATTAGGAACCCCATTAATGTTTTTGCTTATATCTTTCTTAACCCCGTAAACCTTCTACTGTATTTGTGCATGCTGATGTTTGAGGGTTTACAAAATTACAAAGTTTACAAAAGTCAAATGGTTAACAGCAAGATGGGAAAAGTTATGATTAAAACTTCCTAATCTAGAATATCCTTTCCACATGTTAGTTATTATTGTGGACCCGTCTCTCACATTTTCGCTTATGAGTTTCTCTAAAGAACTTCTGTCTTTAACCGGGAATATGAAAATTTCTTGAGTTTCTCTGCATATACCTCCTACTATCCAAATATTCCTTTTCACTCTCCCAACGTTATATTTTCTTTTGCACAGCACGCTTTCATCAATCTCTACTGTGAGGTTGTCTCCTCCAATTTTTTGAGGAGATTTATCTAATCTCCAACAGCATACGTTTCTAATAATTTTGCCTAGTTTGGTAAAAGAATCACAGCTTGTTTACGGCCGTCTAACAGAACAGAACCCAAAATTCGATAGTAATCGGTATGTGTGTATAGAAGAACTTATCAGTATAGTCATGAAGCGCATGAACTCATTCTTTAGTAACACATTAAAAGCAAATAATATAGAAAAAGTGCAGAAAACGAAAGAAGGGTCGCAATGCTCAGGAATGAAGCCTGAGGAAAATCAATTGTGCAACGCGCGGTTTCCATCAAGGACAAGCTTAACATAAGCAATTAACAGCAAATATATTTTCACAAAGACAAAAGAAAAGCTGAAACAGAAAATATAAATGACTGAAGAGCAGATATGTAGTAAGAGTATGCAACACAACCAATAGCACGCATAGCCTAACAAAAAGTTCCCTGCGTCTCTGCACATCATCCCGACTCTGCCGTCCAGTCTAGCTCTCATTATTTATAAGAACAAATCTGCTTAGCGTCTTACTGATTTCGTTTAAATTCAATAGAAACAAGAATAAGACGAAAAGCATGTCAATTCAAAAAGTTACAAAATTTATGCAGAGAAGCCAACTTTACTGTATAATTTCAAATATTGCACTTTCGCGCTAAAATTGACGCTCTACGATTGGAGCGCGTCACATTTCACAAATAACCAGGCCAGCAGACGTCATTTTTGAATTGACCATTATTCAAAGGTCAGATAGCTATATGCTACAACAACGATATAAAACGTTTTATTAAGCCGAACTCATCTCAAGTCAAGAATATTTGAATGAATGCTATAGAAGTATGAGATTTTTGGAGATCGCAGCTCAGGCTATAATATTTCCATGAACGGATAGTTGAAAGACAACAAAACAAATGAGGATAAGATATATGTATAGATTATATACAAACATATGTGAGTGGCTCAAATAAATTATTAGGTTCTGATTCTGAGATGTTCTTTTGGACAGAGTATTAGACTTGGTTAAATGATTTGTACTCGAAGTTCAAATGATGATGATGAGGTTGATAATGGTGGTAGACATACGAATAAAACAAGAACTACCGGATGAGGGAACCAGGATCTGATAGAAAGAATGCACGAATATATATATAAATATAAATATACATATATATATACATACATATATATATATATATATATATATATATATGTATTAAGATTCAGAAGGCCAATGCAATATTTGCTCTGGCATGGAGGGGAGGTTTAGGGTAAAGGGAATGGCTTGCCAATGGTACGCATTGCCATTTCGGGTGACACTTTACTTATTGAACGAATAAATTCAAATCTATCCAAATATGGTCAAATGATAAAAAGACTTCAGTAAACATCCAATTGCAGATATTTAATCTCTCTTCCGGCGTTTAATGTCCAACTTTGTGCGGAGAATGCTGAAAAACGAATGTCTAGGAATGTTGGTGAAACATGACTCAGTTGAACATGTAACTTGATAAGTTGCTTCTAATTCCTGTAATTGTTTAAAACTTCAAAACTCGGTTTTCGTCAGGGTTCCTTGATTCTTATTACTGCCACTCATGCTCTAATCTCATTCTCATCAAGTTTTATGTTCATCTTCTGGCTAACTGACAAATCCAATTGTTAACTTACTGATTAATTGACGAACGACTTGGCGCTGTTTCTCGAGTGCATATGCCGTCTCTAATCAATTGTTCACGAATTTCACTCTGTCTGGTCATTCCTGTAATTATAAAAGGTTTCAAAGCTCAAATTGGAAAATGTTTCTTCTTATTTGAAAACAAAGTCTGACCAGACGACGCATTCAAGCTCATCTAAATTGAAAACTAGGCAATTAGATCATGTTCTCTCTTTCAGTAATTCCTCCACCCTCACTAAGCCGGAATCAAAAGCTTTTCTTAGACATTATTTCAGTTCTCAACAATAGCAACAGGGAGGGCGGCCAAAGTAGATTTCCATTAAGGTTAAGATGCTTGAGATGAAAAACCAATACAAAAACGTGGATATCTACCAGGAAATAATAAGTTTCCTCATTTACTTCTCAATTGGAACGCATAAAATGATAGACGTTAGCTATATTTGGATTCTGTCGCTCTTTCTCATCTTCGCTTGGCAATAAAAACTGAATGGCAGGCTCAAGAGAGCTGGAAAAAGTGTGAAATCGATTCAAGGATTTGATATTAGTTTCGCGTAGATAAACACACTTTCTTCTCTGTCATACACACATATATATATATAAATATATATATATGTATTCATATATATATATATATATATATATAACATTTGAGCCACTCGCGATTAATTCGAGAAAGCCTCTTGACATTTGGATCTGAGCTCCTAAACCAATCTTCAAAAAAAATATTTGAAAAATTCGAGTATTCTGATTTCCATTCCTCTCTTTATAGAAAATGCAGTTTTTTGTAACATAAAAAGAGGAGTGAAAAAAGAGGAAATGTTGGTCATTACGTCATACAAACTCCGGGGATTCCGGCACATTCTTTAGGGTGTATCCGGCCAAAGACAAACTTCTTCATTTACCCACGAAAATGATCAAATCCTAGATTAATAAGGCTTCCAGTTAAGCAGCGACTTATTATGAAGTTGGATTGAGTTATTCCTCATACTTTACTTTTTTATTTCAAATATTCCCCTTGAAAAAAGCTTGGTGCAAACGAGGAGAATTGAAAAGTGAGAATAGGGCAATCTGTCTTTTCAAAAGCCATAACTCATATTTTCTCCGTTCATTTCATCGAACCTCCATGAGTACGCATGAAACAAAAAAACGAGAACAAATGACATGTTTCAACTGAAGCATACTATCAGCCTTTCTAACAAATTATGATAATCTAAATTGTTGAAAAATGAAATTAGACATACCTAATCTCATCCTATAATCTCGAACTGCAATAACAAGGGGGGATTCTGCCCGGCCTTCCTTAGCATCTTTTGGACGTACAGAGCCAGTTTGGCGATATCTGTAAACCAAAAATATCATAGAATTACAAGCACTATCTGTCATTAGCGATCTGCAACTTTATCTAAACATAACATTAGCATCATGAAAATCAATACAATTAATTCACGAGCTGCTTCGTATGCTAATTAATATTAACGTGGCCGCGTACACGCCATTTCTTCTTTCAAACTGTTCAGACCGGTTGCATTCACAAAGTTATTAAAAACCAAAAGATAAAATATGGTAAGTATTCTTTTTTTTTCAAACTATTTTTACCCGCGAACACGGACACTTTTAAATTACCTGTTTAAAATTTTACTGACGCAGCTATGCGTCACACATAGCCTTTTGGAGATATCACAAATTTTCCAACCACTCTGTAATATGTTGTTATAGACTTGGTGTATAGGAATTCGAGCAATATTATCGGAACAGAGACATGTAGCAGGTATCATTAATCATAGCATTGACTTATATGGAAGCTCATTGATCGGACTGCTCAAAACTTTTAACAAAAATTACCTGAAACAAGCGAACGATTTCTTCTCTTTCGAACATAGAAAGCGGAAGGCCTGGACTATAAGTCCTTCCTAGTTGATTTCTTCCTAAAGTGCAACATGTTTTAGCTCCAGGATCAAAAATTACCTGAACTTCTAGCGACATCTTTCTCATTCTGTCGGGACTCGGTTGGATCTAAAGACGATGAGGACAGGGACGAGGGAGAGCTACCAACAGAGCTGTCCATAAAATTATACATATTCATATACTGCAAATTGTGAAGAATGAACTCGGTCATTGCGAATCGAACGTACAAAATCTTGCTTCTCATAAATATTTTCTGTATTTTTCAAATCCTGAAGTGGAGGAAGCGACAACGGAAGTTGAGACTCTGTTTCATCATAATATGAACCAGTGCTATTCTGAAATGAATCTGGTTAAAGAATTCACGTGTAAGTATATCAGAAATGGTCTGAAATTTAACAAACATTTAACCAAGCGTAAAAATCTCGTTCCAAACTTTCAGGTGTAGAAGTGTCTATTACGAAATAATCCATTTTATTAGTTGGTTTAGTTCACGACGTCCTGTAAATAAATAGTAAGAAAACAAACTGATTAACTTTCCAAAAAATCAACTAATTAATCAAATTTTGCGACATATACTTTTTACTGGTATTGCTACGTCACGACAATTAATGTTTCACAGAAAATATCAGAGTTATTTTTAAATTCAGGAAGTACGGAATGAAAAACATCATTGCAGAGATGAAAGCTTCTGAACATTTAAACGAATACAGGGGATGAAGAGCGGCAGTGCTATGTAATAATCCACAAAAAAAGAAAGGCATTTGACAAATTGTTTTAAGCTGGACCAATACGACTTCGTAAATTCTTTCTAGTTGGATCACTAACAGCTATCATTCAAAATAAAACAGAATGACTAATTGACGTGATGATCATCACATTATGAGGCTGACAGGAGATATAGAAAAGACATATATAGAATAAGAGAATGAATGAGTCTTACGCCAGTTTTTAACATCTTATCTATTCCGTAGAATTTGTCATTAAGAAGAATGTTTAAAATTATGGTCAATCTTAAGACATTTGAGGTTCGAACACTATCATCAGAAAGCAGCTTATTGTTGAACAAGTTGGAAAAAAAGGGAAACAACTCTATATAAAAGCATATTCTTATTTATAGACAGATGTTCTTCAGAAAACCCCGAACAGTTATAAGTGGACTGGGTGTTCAAAGCGAAGACGGTCGTTCCGGTTCCGACGGATTTGACGACAGTTCGATGTCCAGTTCAGACGTAATTTTATAAGACGAGGGCCATCATATCTATCTACTTATAAAATGAATTTCTCAGAAACATATCCTATTATAGTTAACAAGAAAAGCAAACCTATTAACGAAAAAGGATGGATAATGCAAAGTAGATCTTTTTAATTTATTTTAATTTAATCGAAAATTTCAGAAAAAGCTCAGATAGGCAGACTGATGAAGGAAGGAAACTAGAAAATAAAGAGATGAAGAATCGGAAAGAGGGAACTGCTTCACATGAAGTTTGTGATCACAGTTTACAGCCTACAAAAGCTGAGTAAGGAGCAGTTCATACTGGAATGAGAGTAACTAAAAGTGAAATGATGAAGAGAGGACGAGAGCTAGCTAATCAGTACACAAGAAACAAGTTATATAGAAAAAGAGAATCACGAAAACAGTCAACAGTTTCGAAAACAAAACAATATAACATTAAGAAAATGAAGTAAACAACTTCCATGACCAATTCTGTTCAACATAAAGCTTTAATTTAATGACCACCAATGAAAGGTTTCGAACTTGACAGGGTTGTCTGTTGATCAGTTAACAAACAAAAAGAAAATAGAGAAACAATTCGCAGAACTTTCAATGGCAAACGACATACTCGGAAAAAGACCGAAGGTAAGTGACTTAAGGAAGTTAGAGATGTGATGAGTCGAAAAGCGCTTTGAATTACATAAAAAGCTTATTACACACAATCTAGTCCATCTTAGGTTTCTGAAGAGACAAAGCAGTAATACTATTATGCCGGTCGATGCAAGATCTTGAATTATTTGATTTATACAAAAGGATAATGAAGAAGAAAAAGAAGAAGAAGAAGAGAAGTACTACTAGTAGATATAGTTGATGGTATAGGCATTAAAGCTGAGTAAGAAATATTGGAAAAGGGAAGAGACTAAGCGAGTTTTCAGCTGATTTCTGCTTCGCCTTTCTATTCCTCTTGCTGTTCGACGATGCTGACGCAGATGCCCTTTTCCCCTGTCGGTGATTGGAATGAGAAATTATTAGAATTTGAGCGATACAATAGGAGATACAGACAAGTCAGCTAGCAAAAAAGAAATGATCAAAGAATCCCAAGAAAAAGGCAGCTTTAATAGTAAGTGATTGCAAACTTTACAAGAATTCTCTCTTGTGGTCCGAGAAATGTTCGGTTGTTGGCCAAAATAAACCATGTCAGTTTTGTTTCTGCTTATGTACAAGGTTGACAATTCGTTTTTGACACAACAAAAATAGATGAATAAAGAGCGCCACAAAACAATAAAGACATAAAGAAACTGAGGAAGACTCACACAATAAAGTTAAAACTTCGAAAGTTCTCCGTGTTTTCAGCAGGTCAACACGACGTTTTTTTGCCCAAAATATGGTAACAATAGGAATGAAAACGCGATTCTCAAGCCCGAATAAAAAGGGAACCGTTTATGAAGCAATGGTCACCTACCACACGTTTAAGAAAGCTGACCATACTAGATGCAAAGTGAACTGTCCTTTGTTTCTACTAACAGAACCGTAATTAACCTAACTGGAATATCGAAGACACCAAGTTTAAATATAATAATTTGTAGACATGAAAACAGCAAGAAAACAAGAAAAGAACTGAAAAAATGTAGTAATTCTAAGCTGGCATTTGTATAGAACCGACTCGATGTTGTTTCCGTTCGTAAACGATAAGGAAGAATACACATCTATCATAAGGCCAGCTAACAACTTGTAGATTAGAAAGATCCTATAGCAGAAGCAAATCGCACACAAAGTATCAGAAAAAAAGTGCAATCACGGAGATACTCCGATTTCGATGATAGGTTTGATGATGATTCTGCAGAAGGCTTCACATGAACAGAATATTTGCATGTCGCTCAGATGCCATTATGAATAGGTTCAAGTTCAATTCAAGATAGCAGTACCTGTTTGGTTCATAGAGCAAAATTAATGACGGAAAGAAAACTAACTAATTCTTTAAGGGCTAGCTATTAATGCTTTGACAATGATGATTACGTAATCATTAATATGATGAGATATACAGAAATAGAGAAATTCGGACTATCTGTGAAGATATACAATATCGGATAGACGATTAGATGGTCTGATTAAATCATAAGTCATTATGGCTAAACGAGAGATAGAATGAAAACGTTAGAGAGAAAGAGTAGAAAGAAAACAAGCATAAGTTGAGACTATCACGCATTGTATAAGATCGTGTTATTTAGCCATCGTAATTGAAAATCCGCCATACGATGCTTGCAAAAGATATTATGCGAGACCAAGTATCTGTGTTGGAATAATTAGTCAATACATCAACAGATAGATATGAAGATGGAAGCTCTCAAAATTTCTCACAAACGCAAATCTTCTATAGAAACATAACCGGAAGATGTCGAAGATAGCCGAGAGAGAAAAGAAACTTTGAACATGTTATCTTTGGGTAAAGTGCGAGATTACTTGCATCAAAAAATCTCTAAAGTAAAATTTTCGGAAATTAGTCCAACATAGTTCCATTTTGGGAAGAAAATGATAAAGAAAAGGCTTGAAAAAAAGTAGATAAATCATCTCCCACAGAAGAACATCAGAAAAAAGTGTCAAATTTTAAGTTTCTGCAGGCGGTTATATTTTTGTTTTCATACGTCACAGGCTGCAGAAAAACTGATGAATCGAAAAACTACAAATTCTTCGTCCCGAATTGAAATAGAACACATCAAAATGCCTGAACTTACAGTTCTGAAGATTATTGAACGTTCAACTTTTTCGAACCTCAGACATCCCTCCCCGGAGAGCAAAATGAAATTTCATGAAGAAGCTTATTTTAATAGAAAGTACTGGAAGGTGAAGTAGTTCTCAGGGAAGGAGAGTATTTACAACACAAATATCTTATGAACGAAAACACATTCCTCTCCCATCTATCTGACAGGAATTTTCTCTTATTATTACCATGCCGGGAGGTTTTTTCCCTATACATATGTTACGGAGCACCAAATAGCTTGGCCAAGTTCCTACTTTTCTACTAATTGGCAGAATTTATAACGAAAGGTTGAAAATGATCACATAAATAATAAGATGGGGAAAACCTGTTCACCTGTCTAAATATTATCTTTTTAGCCCCCCATATCCAAGCTAGAAGGGTGGTATTATATGGGGGGCTAACGGTCTAAACGATCATCTCCCATTCAACGTATCAAGTCGGCGATTGATAGAAGGTGCGAATTTATTAGAAAAGAAATGACAGAAAGCAGAAGGAAAGAAAACGTCAGAGACGAACTAGCAGAGAAAAAAAAAGGAGAAAACTGTGATGATAGTAGGAATGATTAAGAATGATATGCAGCCATTTCGACATGTTGTTGTGGAATTCGTGGTGACGATCCCTCTGACCAGGTACTCTTCAAGCCTTGATCGTGAAGATCATCATGATCACCATCTTAATCTTTCAATATGCTTCTCAACTTCCTCTATCTGTCATCCACCCAATACAGCTCTAACAGCTAGATTCATGATGTTTGGACAACTGGGACAACTAGAAAATCATCTTTGGAAATGGCACCAATCACTCACACTTCGCAAGGTTTTCGGCTTTTTTTCATCCAAATACAAGCTTACAATCGTCGCCTATATTTGGATGAAAGAGAATTTAAAGTGAAAATATGTAATTAGGAGTCAGCGGAAAGATCAAATGATTGAACAACTCATTTTTGGATAACTATAATGGCGTCCACGATTAAACTGAATAGGTGATGTGCAGAGCCATCTGCATAGAGTTATGAGAACAGAATATGACATAGCAAGTGAATTCTGAACAAAATTGACCGATTTAAAGGTTCTCAAAGCTTTAGTACATGGTCATCAAGTATTGAATGGGATGACCATAAAAGACAGCTCTCATTCAAATTAGCAGTGAAAAGTATCTAAAGCCAGGAGCCTAAGACGAAGAATAAGACAACATAACTTCTCGCTTTCTTTTGCCCATAAGGAGAGGGATGAGGCGAAAGGGACAAAGGGATTAAAGGGCTTGTCCGGATTGGCCCATTTCAATAAAGAAGACAACGGATCTTGCAGCATCTTTGGGGCCACTAGTCATACTATTTAAAGGATTAAAAACTATTTCAAACGGTGCGAACAAGAAAAACGGTTCCTAAATTGCTCGACCTACGAATAAGGCTTAGATATGATTTTTTCTCAATTGCGAACGGTTTCACGAGATATTCAGAGATGCCAAATCTCAAACAGTAGCAAAAATTGAGAAAAAAAAGATTATCCTAGGATTGCTGCAGAGAAGTTTGGCTAGCGCAGAGAACGGACAGAAAAAAAAACAATTCCATCAGAAATCACTTCAACGATGAATATTTAAATTGTATTACTCAATGTTTAGGAGTATATGTAATTACAGTTACAGAATGGTAAAGAAACTCTTGATCGTAGGAATTTCGGGGACCGCGGCTCAAGGCTGGAAGGTGATTGGCTTCAATTACAAAACCAGTGTCAGACTCAAAACTGGTAACGACTTTCTTCTCTTTTCACGGCAATCTTATCAAGTTGTTTTTGAATTCAATACAAGAAATTGGCTAGTTTTTCATTTAAACCAAATTCCGGTGTCGATTTCAATAGGAAGTTCTATTCTAACCATAATTCCAGAGAAGATCTCAAAGTTCAGAAAGTAATGGCAGGGGACCACCCATTCCACCTCTCCGCTGGAATTTGCTACCATAAACTTCAAGATTTTTCACTTCTTGGTAGAAAAAAAAAAGAAGAAAAAGCTGGTGGATTTCAATTTTTCTCACCCAGCGATCAAGAATGTGATGAGATAATGTTCATCTATTCATAGCTTTTCCTTCGAGATTGCAATAGGATGCCAGAGATTCAATAACGTCTGTGATATCACACATATGACTGATGATACTGAAATCACTAGCCAGTATGCTTCTGGACTGAATATAAACGGACTTCACACAATAAACGCCAAACTGGCGAGAATTTGATAAGCCGCGTGATAAACTGATTAATTACACTAAGGAAAAGCAACTTATCCGGTAAGTCGTAGAATTCATAAAGCATAACTGAATAGTTCTGCGATGAACATTAGGAGACAAAGTGTTCGGGGCTAGGTAGAAATAATAGTAGAATTACTGCTCACAGGATGAAATCGCAGAAAGCTACTTGTAACATTCGTGTCATGGAAACAAGCAAAAGAAGAGTCTAGTCATTACTGCAAAATTATCGGCTCTTTGGTAAAATCTGGAAAAACTATTCCAAGTATTCCGGTTGCTTACCGAAGTACATTAGCATCGAGGCATGTGAATTAGCACCATCCCATTACATTCAAACACATTACCAGCTATAGAAATAGCCAAAAAGATGAATCACAATGACTCAGCGACTTAAGACGGAAGGAATGTTATAAATGGCAATTGAAGTATAGTGAGTGGGAGAAGCTAATATCTCTAGTCCGCAATAAATTAAAGGAGGAAGATCAACAGAGTATGAATAACTGTCGCATACACAAAGTAAAATAAGATTTCAGCTGAATAAAACCTCCAAGTATTGGTCAAAAAACTCAATATAACTTCCTAATCATCAGTTACTCACAAAGTTTAATAGGTTCGGCTAATAAGGATAAGCGAAGATTAGCAATCTTATTTTGCGCAGATAGTTAACAAAACGAGTTTCGTCCATTATTATGGACCCTTAAATGGTAATTACTTTCAACGCAAAAGCTTTTTATTACATTATAAGGGAATGGATCAAGACAAGCTCTGATTGAATGGTAGAACTACGCGCCAGACAATATTTGTCCTAACAACCTGGTGTCTTGCAAGAACCTCAATTTGCCAACCAGACAAAGTCCAAGGTAGCCACACATGGATATAGATAGAGGTGTGAGGATGAAGATGAGCGGCCATTTCCTGATTTCATGTATGGATGAGCTAAGGAACAGGCTGTTCAAATAGCGCCTGTACTTGAAACACAATAGAAGACGCAACTGTGAATAGCTAGTTATGTAGTGAAACGACCAAAAAGAACCAGCTCTAAGATCATTGAAGAATTGTATTATATTAAACGCTTAAGCTGCTAATATTTGAAACCATAAAAATTAACCTTTGCTAACCATGAGGGACTAGAGTGAACACGACAATAACAAATGAGCGTACCTGACAATTCCTATGACAGTAGAACTTGACCATTGTTTCTGAGGAGCAGCGGAAGCAGCCGCGCTTGGCAATAAAGTTGACTGAAATAAAGAAAACAGATAGTTCACACCACGTGGAATCTACGTGACTTTGAAAAACGTGGAACACGGACGTTTACGTGATTACGTTTACGCTTCATAAAGAACAGTGACAATTTTGAAACATGAGCATAGCTTCCAATTAGTATGTACAATGTAAAATACAAGAGAAATATGATATTATCAAAGTGTTCAATCAATAATGTTCAGTAAAGATTCATTTGAACCCAATCTGTCGAGTTTTTTTTTCAAGTACTCCCTCTTTAAAAGTAGCACCTCCTGCTGCAATACTAAAACCTACAAAAACGGTATTCTGATAATACTTTTATTGAGGTGACTAACATGCTTTTGTAACTTGATTACATCTTTGTCAACAGCCTGAACTATGAAGGGTTGAGTTCCTTGAGTAGGGTCAACACTGTAATCTTCCTGAAAAAACAAATCTGCGATAGCAGCGCTAGTATGCTTACTGAATTGTTTTCAATGAAGTTTTCGTCTTCCGGGAAATCATCCGAAATACCTACATGATCCTTAAAACAAAACATCTTCTTCTAAACGAGACAATACGAACTTGGTAAATGATCCCCGATGCTTGCTCTTGGGCCGTTTCTGAAAATTTTCTTTTCCTCGGCTCATTTAATCTGTTTTCTGCGATCGAAAAATAGGTTCAAAAAAAACTTTTAAAAGTACCGGGATATTCTTCTTTAAATTGACAGTCATACTCACTGAAACCCAACCAAGGAGTTGTCATCTCATCACCTGGTAAGAAAAATTGTTTCGTATCATTCATCTTATGTCTAAACAAACTTTGTTGATGTGCCGAGACCAACATACTGTCTATACCCAGCGGTTCGGTATTCAAGGTCATACTTGAATATTTTGTTTTATTCATACTCAAACAGATCATCACCTCATTTTCTTATTATATTTCTGATTACATTTGCTATACATGGTTTCAATATCATTGTTTGTTTCCTTATTGGAAGGTGTTATTTTCCCGCTTATGAAATTTGGTGTCTGAAATTGGAGCTACTAAGTATAGTCGCGAACTTACCAGATTAGTTATATTAGAAACGTTGATATTTAGTTGTAATCTGTCCAGAATTCGAACTTCCTCGTTTGGAAGATTCAAACAAATATCTGGAAGAACAAACAATTTGATAAAAATAATCTTCCGAACCCTTCGGTTTTTTAATTGCTTTTAATGTTTGACAAAACGAGCACTCATTAATGTATCTAGCCACATCTTTCCGCATTCCATGCCAGTACAGTTTACGAGATATCAAATTCTGACTGAATAACTTTATGTATCTAAATATAGAATGTGCCTACGTTTGCTTCTGCCCAACATGACCATTTCTTTCATGAACAACTTTTATAGCAATTTTCACTTCTCCTCGCTTCACAACTACACGGCCACTGGAACTCTATATTTATGATTTGGGTGGGTTAAAAAAACCTTTTCGAATTCTGCTTGTCAACATACAGTAAAGTGTCCTTCGAACTCAGCATGAACTTTGCGCATCTCATTCTGAGAAAAATAATTTATATTATTATTTAAACGAAGAAACATGCCTCCAATGGAACAAAGCATTTCGACTCATCTTTTGGTGGTCTTCTATCATTGTAGGATACTTGCCAGTTTTTTTAAAACTGAAAACTTCATATTATATGGCATAACTATGCTCCTCATACTTTACAATTGAATTATACAGGTTGCAATCCATCCCTCCATAATCATTATCATCAGTCTCATCGAACAGCTCATTTATCACCAGCTGATGTTGCATTATCCTGTCCTAACTTGCTTTCGTTGTGTCCCTGAAGGGGTCATGCAATGAACGTTAGATCTGTGTTTAGTGGAACAAAAGGAGTGCTGACGCGTTTCTGGTGTTTTGATAACTCTCTTTGTGCAATGCATTCAAAATTATTTTGAAATCAGCAAATTAATAAACAATCAATAATCTTAAAGTTTTTAAGAGTTATTCAAAGAGTTCCTTGCGATAAAACACTGCATTCTTTGTAAATATGTTTACAATCGGGAACTTTCCCTTAAGGGTCTTACAGTCATTCCTCCTTGCTTACATCTAATTTCATTTTGATTCTTTTATCATTACAGTTGCTTCTCATAAACTCGGTGTTAAATAATTTTGTTTTTGTGTGACGTGACGTGTCATACAGCTTTTCATTTTCAATTCGTCTCTAAGAGAACTCGGTCGTTTTCGCGTCAACTTGTGCTTGTTGCACTTAATACTTTTGGTCTATTGATTGATTTGTTCTTTCATATTCCATTCTTACAGATGTCGAGGCCCATATCCGGGCCGAGAACTTCAACGATGAGGATTCGGGCTTTTCCGGTTAGAATACACTTATTAATTATCTTATACTGGTGTTAAGTTTCAGAACAACGTAGATGAACGCAATGTTCATCAGACGTGGCTGCTTCTCAAAACTGCTATTCAAGAAATTCAAAAAAAGAATGGTTCTGGATTGAGTTTTGAAGAGCTTTATAGAAATGCCTACACAATGGTATTCAAAGTTTATCATGAAAAATTATATTTTCAACATAGGTTCTTCACAAACACGGGGAGAAATTATACTCTGGTCTCAAAGAAGTTGTAGAGGGTCACTTGGTCGAACATGTTCGTTTAATTAATTTTATTTGTTACGATATTCTTACTTAAGATCCGTTTCAAAGTTGCTAACGCTATAAATGGTGGAAGGTTCCTTGAAATCCTGAATGAAGCTTGGATTGATCATACAACTGCCATGGTATTGCCATTTTTCCTTCTTTTGTTATTTGTTTGTTGTATAGGTTATGATTCGTGATATTCTTATGTACATGGACAGAGTATATGTTCAGCAGCACAATGTTGAGCCTGTATATCCATTAGGTTTATCCATATTTAGGTATAACTATTGAATTTTTCAACATTGAATGTTTCTCTTCAGAGATAAAGTTGTTCGCCAAAACAATGTAAGCGAGCATCTACGAGCTACTTTACTTCAATTAATATCAGACGAAAGAAGCGGTCAAACTGTGAACTGGTTAGTAGTATTATGGGTTTCTGTTTTCGAAATTTTTTTCTCAGGACGGGTATTAAGCATGCTTGTCAGATGCTTGTTGCTCTAGGTATTGAAGATCGTCATGTCTACGAGTCAGAGTTCGAAACTCCCTTTCTTAAGGTATAGTCGAATCTGTTATCTAATACTTATGATATGTTCTAGGAATCGGCAATGTATTATAGAGCAGCTAGTCAGAAGTTCCTGAGTGAAAACAGTGCTAGCGTTTATGTCCAAAAGGTACAGCTATTATGGTAATTTTCTGTCAGAACTCTTTGTGCATAGGTCGAAGAATGTATCGAAGATGAAGCAGCTCGTGCGAAACGTTACTTAGATCCTTCAACAGAAGCAAAGATTCTAGATGTACGTTAACCTTCTGTGATTGTGATGCAATGTGTTCAAGGTTTTGGACGAAGAGTTGATTTCAAAACACATGCAGCGGATTGCTGATATGGAGCAAAGTGGAGTCGTTCCGATGCTTTCGAATGATAAAGTATGAGAAGTCTCTTACAATAGTAACCAATGTTAATAGGTTGTTGACTTGAGCCGTCTCTATCGACTATTGAAGCGAGTTAACAATGGTCTAACCGTCATCACAACCGCCATGAGCAGGTCAGTAGTTTTTTAATAGGCAAAAGAAATTATCTTCGCTTCAGACATCTAAGACAACTTGGTGAAGAGATCGTGGTCGAAGATGGTGAACTCATAAAAACTCCTGTTAACTTCATACAGGTAACCAGAGACCCGCTGATTAATCATTAATTTACCTACCAGGCTCTTATTGATTTGAAAGAAAAGTATGACTATTTCCTTCATAATGCTTTCTCCAATGACAAAGTTTTCAAACACAAAATTCAGAATGATTTTGAATTCTTCTTCAATAAGGTAAGAGGTTATCTTGGATTTCTGTGCTATCCTCCCACTTCAGACTTCCAAAAGTGCCGAGTATTTATCACTTTACATGGATGATAAACTAAGGAAAGGAAGTAAGGATGTGAGTTTTCACTTGAAGTTACCATTTATATTATTTTCTCTCTTCAGTTGAATGAGAGTGAGTTGGAACAACTGCTTGATAAATCCATGGTGTTGTTCAGATTCTTACAAGAGAAAGATGCTTTCGAAAAGTTAGTTGTTTTATCTTTAAGCTGTTATGCTCTTTCATCAGATATTACAAGCAACATCTCGCTAAGCGATTGCTATTGGATAAAAGCATTTCTGATGAAGCTGAAAATTCCATGATTACCAAACTCAAGGCATTGTTTCTCACTAGTTAGAAACCTTCTCATCGTGTTATTCAGACCGAATGTGGTTGCCAATTCACTCAAAAATTGGAAGGAATGTTCCGCGATAAAGAGTTATGGGGTTTGACTGTGAGTGATTTCCGTACATACAAGGAGCGTTTCAGTCCTGCGGAGGTAATTTTTCATCACTTTCTCAATTATTTCGTTGAATTAGATGGCTCAAAAAGACCCTGCCGAAATAACAGTACGTGTTCTGACTTCCGGAGTTTGGCCTACTCAGGGTCCATCTCCTTGTGTCTTACCTAAAAAATGTTCAACAAGCTTCAAGGTTATTTCTACTTTTGTTTTCATACATACAATATATATTTCCAATTCAGACATTTACCGATTTCTATACCTCCAAACATAGTGGTCGCAAAATAACATTGAATACTACTCTGGGATCTGCTGATATTAAAGCATATTTCTATGGTACATCTAAAGATGATGTCAGCTCCCAGGTAAGCCCATACTTTAAATGGACCATGCAAACCGATAAGAATCAGGGTTCTTCTAACTCCATTACGCGTAAAGAGGAGACCAAGATTCTACATACAAGTAATACGTACTTAATGATAATTCTATTACTGTTCAATAAAAAGAATAAGTTTACTTTCGCTGAACTAGCGGTGAGTTCCTATCAATGATTTCCCTTGATCAGCTTTTCTTTCAGGATGATACTCACATACCTGAAAAGGATCTGAAACGTAACTTACAATCATTGGCTATGGGTAAAGCCACCCAGCGAATATTATGCAGAAAAGGTGTTGGAAAAGATATAGGTTTGATACAAACTTTGAAAAGTTATGAAATTATTTATCTTGCAGAGGCGCAGGATGAGTTCACAGTAAACGATGGATTCACTTCGAAGTTCAGTAGAATAAAAATCCAATTGGTAACATCGAAAAGCGAAACAGAAGCTGAAAGAAAGGAAACAAAGAATAAGGTTAGCGAGTTGTTGTTTTCCAGTTTAATTTTTTTTCAATCCAGATTGATGAGGATCGTAAGTTAGAGGTGGAAGCTGCGATTGTCAGAATAATGAAAGCTAGAAAGAAATTGGTGCATAACTTACTGATATCTGAGGTAAGATGACTATTAGTGATGCATTTTTCATATTTTTAGGTAATTGATCAACTCAAACATCGATTTGAACCCTCTCCGCAACTCATTAAAAAACGTATTGAAGCTTTGATAGAGCGAGAGTACTTGGCGAGAGATGAACACGACCAGAAGAGTTATAGCTATATATAATAATTTGTACAATCTACTTTCTTTTACTTTCTCTCGCTGTTTCGGTCCATTCTCAATTGTATTTCAGTCTCCTAAACTAATTTAATTTTATGACTGCATGCTTCTACATCCTATTAATATTATATGTACACTACTGTTATAGGATCTTAGTAGATAAAAGGTATGCGGGTGGTTTTCATAAGGCAATCGTGTCGTTTTCTCATTGTAATTTGAATTGCTAAATCTATCTTCCAAATTATGTGTCTCTGCGTTTTCTCTTCATAATCATCTTATTATTTTCTCTCTGATATACGTGAATTCAGTTGCGTCTGGTCATAAATCTTATTTCATTTATTGAAATTTATACAAACAAGAGGTCAGATAGAACCGTAAATCTGATTTTGAGCATTTGGTTTTTGAGAAGGGAAAGCCGAGAATGTATTCTCGCGCAGGATAATTTGCACCTATAAACAGAATTGAAGTACAAACAATAGACTGAACTAACCTCGTCAACAGTTTTATCTTTGGTTTCCGGTAAAAATACAAAAAGAAGCACAGCTAAGAAGAAGGCGGGACCGGAAGCGAGCGCCAAAACACTGGAAACTTATATTTGCGAAGTTTGGGAAAGTGTACCGACCTCCAGCTTCCAATCATCATTTCTAATTGGAGATAGAAGAAGGTGACAAGCATATTCGATGTTAATAGAAGACCCGTCGATAAAGACTGGAAGAGGGAAACGTGGGCTGCTTCAACCTGTAAATAACGGAGGGTATTGTTATTATGAGAAATGGTGTTAAGTAAACTCGAAAATAAAGTTCTAATCCTTTAAGATGAGCTTAATTTGGTTTATTCCGCTCTGTGTTTGCTTGTTTAGAACTCACCAGTTCAGATGTTAGGAACCAGGCGGGGGCCCCTGCTCCAAGACCAATGAAAGCTTTAGTTAGGGCAAAGCCAATTGTGACCAAAATTGCATTATCGGAGAAAAAGATGGCGAGGGAATTCGAAACAGCAGTTCCAACTAAACCAAAAAGCAGAAGTTTCCTTCTACCGAACCGATCAATCTGAACGTTTAGTTTTATCTCCAAAATCGAGATTTTTTCCTACCAATATAGTTCCGAACAAACTGCTGATCACAAGAATGAGTCCGAAACCTACAGATATCAAATCTGCTGCTTTGGCATCGTCTTTTATGGTATTCTAAATTATAGATAGTATGATGCGGTCAGGAGTCTATCTCATACGTTCAAAATTTGAGATGAAAACGTATCAACAAGATCATCTGCTGTAAAACCATATGATATAGCAGCAAGCGATCCGATGAAAAATCCTTTCCATGTCGCCCATGGAATATTACATAATCCAAAGCTGGAAAATTTTTTTTTCTTTGAAATCAAAATCTTTCGAACACTCTTTAGCATTTTCTCCCGCACATTTCTGTGCAGACGCCACTTACTGAACAGTCATTTTTTATTTTCAGTCGCACGGATCGGTTGTTCTATCTCGCACTCTACTTACCAGCTAGTGGTTCGAGTTGATCCTTGTCGGTTTTCCGCTTCATGTTGTTTTTCTATCGTTGTACATTCTCTTTTTACGAAATCGTAACCGCTATCATCGCCATGATAGTATTGAATAGATTTCATAACTGGAAATGAGTAAGTTTTACAATTTTGAATCGTTTTTCTGATTGCCTTCTTCTTTTGGACATTTGTTCTTATAGGTTTGGTGTGGTGTCTTAGGAGTCATTAGAAGGACGAACAGGAAAAGTATCGTTGGGGCAATAGCAAATGCTTGTAACCATATGAACCTGAATATGTATCTTTTCGTTTAGGTCTATGATATAAAAAGTACCTATTCACACCCAAAGGCAAAATGTCTTCGGAACCTATAACAAGTCCCAAGAATGTACCCACGGCTTGAGAAACTTGCTGAAAGAGATCTTCGTGAACCTTACGATTGACGATTATACCTGGAAGGTGCTCAGGAATGGTCTATGTTCCACAGGAGAAACTTCAATAACATACAAAGGCAATAAACACAAGGATGAACCTTAACGATATATTAAATTATTGTTGAAGCTTAACAAACACCTCCTTGGATCCCAACTAAAAATCTTCCTATGATCAACACAAGAGAAACCGCTGCTTCATCTATAAAGTCGGAGTAGCTAGTTTTAGTATCTGACACTTACTTTTATATACAGAAATTTGAGGAGCTAAAAAGTGAACGCTACATCCTAAAACTGCAGCTAAACACATCAATATTTGAGTTCTCTTGATCCCAATATGCGATGTGAACGCCGGCGTCTGGGTCACAATTATTTTTTATATTCTCTCTTTCAGACTCACCAATAGAAATCCTAAAATACTACCAGGGTAGAAGCTACTAACTATCGTACTCCAAGCCGAGGACCAGGACTCGGCTGGTAGCCAGCAAAAGCGACAATCTTCAAGAGAACTTTGTAGTAAGTTTTGTCATGGAAGCTTACCATGTCCTGTTCTGTAACCCTCGTTAGCTAAGTCGTAGAATGTTTTAACAGAGGTATTCACATAGGTTATCTATAAAACATATGTTGTTTATATTTCTAGCTTAATCTATATTTCTTTATTTTTCGACCTTCAATATACAAGGTCAGCAGTCATGTTTTCCTTCTTTTCATATTTACATGTTAATCAAGAGATATATCTCTTTCTTTTTTATCAAATTAACTGATTTGTCCTTTTACATTTCAGAATTTACATTAGATCTATGAAACCTTACGAATTTCAGAACCGGAAAGACAATCAATTCTGGGTATGGTATCAAAAGTACAACGAGAATGTAGAAGGAAGTTTAAGAAGTATCAGAAGATGTTTTTACCTGGAAAGCGAATTGCCAGTTGGAACAGAAAGAAATAACAGCGACTATCAGGAAAAGCCTCCGGTTAGGAAGAACCATCTAACAGTAACCTCTCTTTAGGCTGAAATAGGGATGTTGAGGAATAGATACAAGAGTGGCTCGTCACAACAAGAATGATAAATAGTTGGCATAACAAATGACAATGATTAGTGGGAAATGATGTTTCTTTATTCCTTTCTCTTCTTAATTCTCTTAAATCGAAACCAGGTTTTTCACTAATGTCGTAATATTTGTATTTGTTCAAGAATCTGCGAGCGATAGAGATGATGAATTCGGTATTGGGAAAACGAGAAAAGGAAGTTCTCTCGGATGACCTGACTGAAGGATGAATTTGAAAAGAAATGAGGAATAACCTGCGTACAGGTGGTGGAACACGAATGAAGTATGCTTTTGGGTATGGGCGACAAGAATCTGGACAAGACAAAGAATTTGTTGGCAAAAGGAACAATAACTTCCGCTTGAGGTTAGAAGCACCCTGATTTTATCATCACTCTCAGACCATTCCTTCATCTCGATAACGATTTCACAGAAATCATCCTATAATAAGTGAGTTGAACTAGCAAAAACTAGTTGAATACATGTATGGATCTCATAATCAAATTGTTCGTCTCACTAATTTCTACTTCCGTTGAATACTTTTCAGCCATTCTCAGTTTTATTTGTAGTCCATCGCTCAAAGAACAATAGACAGATCACATCACTTCTCATAAAAGTTAATATTGAAAAAACAGACGAGAGACCTATTTGTTTGATGCATTTCCATATTTAGTAACAGATATGCTGAAGATTGTTGTCTCCCGCTCTTAGGAAAAAAAGGAAATCACGTCATGTTCACGTGAAAATCGGAGAACGAACAAGTCTGTGACATCTTTCGTTTCAAAACGATAATGGATTAGTCTTTTAATTTTCTGATTTTTTTGAATTTTTTTTTGTTTCAGACTAGATTAACTACAGTTTCACTTTCATTATCAAAAACTCTCATGATGTTATGATAACAAACAAAAGTTCATATGATAGAACAAGAACTGGATACTACATTTGCAGAGCTGGTCAATCAATCCAAAAACATCCGAATACGGCAAATTCAAGAAACTGACCAAAAAAAAATGAGTGACTCATCACATTTGAATGAATGATGGGTGACAACTTCAATAACAGATAGATCTTCCTCTTCAGATTATGGTTGAAATAATTCGTAAGCAAATTGAGAGCATATCATGTAAAATGAAACTGAAACCGGTAGGTAAGAATTGACCGAAGGTCGAACTAGCTAGAGGTCATAAGGATTTGGCGAATCAGAGATGTCAATGAATGATCCAATTAGACGAACATGTGAGGAAGATTTGAAAAATTAAAAGTTTCTTATCACACATTCATGGATGGCGGTTCAGTATCAAACATGTCTTATATAAACAGTAAGAAGAACAAGAAATGAAGACATCCCGCGGATCATGAAATACTTGACATATATGTAAATATTCAGGAATCTATCAGAAAACAATTGAAACAAAAGAACGGAAACTGTAAGTGATGTGCACTCTTTGACCATATCGACGCTGTCGTACTATGGGACACGCCTTGCTACAGCAGGTTGTTACAGACGGAATCCCGGTTTTCAAGCTACTTGACATATTCATCAAAAAAAGCTTCTTCACACAAAAAGCTTCAATGACTGTGCTTTATCAAAATTTGTTAAGCAGACCACCCAGCAAATGAGATTGTGATAACTGCCGCGACAGACCATTTTACAAGGAGAATTGAACAATCGAATAATCATAGTAAGGCAATTTAATGAGATCAAAAAATGAAAAGTAACGGTTGTAATTGATATTAACGTGAGTAGAACTAAAAAAATGATTTTTTGATCCAAAAAAATAACGTTGCGACCTTTAAGGACAAGCAAGACGCCATCTGAATTCCATCACAATCCATGTAACAGCAATCAAATAATATGGGTGAGTAAATGAACAGAGTCTTCACTTGCACTTACAAGTTAGAAAAAAACTATAAAATACATGTGGAGCCCGAAGGTAATGATAATAAATTCGATAATAAATAGGTTAACTTATAAGGAGAAAACAATAGAAGGTAGGAGATATAGAAATTCTTTTATGAACTTTTCATTGGTAATTCTTCTAACCATTCTTGTCAATAGCTGACAAAACCAATGAAAGCATGTGAAGAGTGGACGTGATTGATAAGATTTAACGATAAGATTGATAGCGTAACAAAGCACAACTTATGAACATTGAGAGTTGTGTGCTCAAATCCGTTCTAATATCTGTTGGGACTGGCATAGCAGAAACTAGCGCATTTATGAATCATATTCTGTGATTTCAGACTGTCATAAGACTTTTTTTCCTATTCTAGCTAATAGATCCGCCCTTACTGAAAAGCTGGTTCACCTTACATAGGATATCATTCATTTTCCCCCAATATATCAATTTGGAGATGTGATACAATCTGGAAAAATGAAGAAATGCTACCAAATGAGAAGAAAAAATATTTTAAAAAGTGAAGCGGAAACGGTTCTCAAACTCTTCTTACGCAATACTACCAAATACAGAATAAGAAAGGTAAAACATATGGACCTAACCAAACTCACTCTTTTGTCATTTGTGAAAATCCAACCGTGTTCGCGCGAAAGACTCCAGAAAATGAAATTGAAAGCTCACGGAGCACGTGCGTGGAACTTATTTGAATACGTGAAAAGCCACAAAATGGCAGTGTCACTGGCGATTTCGATAAGGGTTGTGAACAAATTGTAGTTTGATTCACTCAAGATAACTTTTTTATCAAAAACATTCATCATAGAACATGGCATGAGTTCACAAATGAGCTGTTTTGGTTATGTAAATAAGCAACGTTCGATATTTGGAAAGTCAGTCTGGTATTGTTGAAGTAATAGGAAGAACGAAGACCTTGACGGAATATCATACAATATGAAGAAAAGACTTCCGGGACAACATAGTTAAACGATCATAATATGTTCATCACTCTTTGTGCCACCATCAGTTTTTGTTAAATTTGAAACGCGAAAGATGCGCCAATTGCCAACGTGACCCACCGTCATTATTTTTCGGGACGATTTATGCTATGATCCAATGATGTAATCGTTACTCACTTCCTACTGGTTCAATCGCCACGTATTAGAATTTTTCGGATTTGACACCACAGATTTGGTTTTACGTATAACCAAGTTGAGAAGATAATGCCGTTGTATTTAGCACTCGAGACTTATTGGAGAATGAACTAATGATTCGATATAAATTACTTCTGTTTTCCTGTTCCAGACTCATGTGGTTCTGTTTTATCATTTCTCAAAATAGTTAACGATAGAGTACGAGAATAAATAGGAAAAAACTTTTTTTTTTCTGACCTTCAATGAAGATATTCATTCCAGATGTACAAATTGCCAGACCCTACGGCTTTGCTCAAACAATGCAGAAAGAAATGTATAATTATTATCTCGTAAACATTTTTCCAATATCATGCTCCTGAGTTGTTGAGAATGCGATAGGATTCATCATTAGCCATTTGGGATGGGGCAATACTGCAGAGTAAGGATGTCATAGAAAAATATTTTCGATCTCACTTGTGTTTAAGTCCTCTGTACAATTCAGAATGAGCCCCGAAGAAGAAATATGCATGAACCATACCGACCAGAATGAACAGAAAGAGTATCTGAAGCTTCATCTAAAAAATGTATTTGTGAAGAGGTTCAGGTACAATCATGTAATTCTAAAGTGGATAGACAAAGGTATGACAAGGGAGCGTTTTGCTTTCAAGGAAGGAAATGTCGAGAGTTCAGTGATGTGGAAAAGTAAGTAAAAAACAAAAACGAAACAAAGCCAAGAAAGGGAAGAGCGAGTAAGGAAGGTTTTAAGGATTTCTCAAGGGTTATAGCATGAGTGATTCCGTAGGAGGACTGCCTCTTCTAACTGCCTTAAGTTCTCGAAGGCGAGAAAGCCGGCGCCTCCAATACATATTTATTGGCTCGATGACATGAACGTTCCATTAACATTTAAGATGCTAATTCGCAAATGAAAATTCGTGTTTTGTTATTTTTATCCTCGACTTTCGTTCTTTCTGGACAATTCTGGATAATTTGCTTTGAAAATGGCGTTCTTTCATGTTTTTTCATGCCTGGAATCATAATAAACACATAGAAATGATGGATTTCTCTTCCAAAAGCTTATAAATACAGCATTAATCATCTCAGGAAACCGAATATGCCAATAATGCGACTAATTTAGTGATATTTGGCTCGAAGCGATGTAAGAAGCTCGCATCCTTCGAACAAATTGCTGGACTTAAATATTATATTGACGGAGTCATGAATTGGTTGAAGTTTTGACAAGAAATGTCCGAGAACAAACGCTGTGAAATGTTCGATCCCGTGAGATTTATGACTTCACAACAAACTTACTTTACTACTGAAATTCTAGACGCAACAACGAGGTTCGAAAATTTAATGGATAATTCAAAAATTTGACAAAAGGAACATGTTTGGCAGTATTATGAGAGTGAGGGAAAGTTGTAAGGCACAGGGAAAAAAGTAGACTTGAGTTTCGTCTTATAGACGGAAATGAGCTACTAGTCTGACAAGCCATGGACAACAACTCATAAAATGCATCCAAAAACATATCAGCAAGGAGGACTGAAGTAGATAGCATATATGTAAGATTTTTCTTCTATCACGAAAAATAAGCAAAATGAAGGCTTGAAATAGAAGAAGGCTTCACCATCTAAAAAGGAAAACAAGAAAGTTCCTGCCTTTTACCAATGACTTGAATAGTTTCACAATATATTGTTTGAAACCAAGCGTTTGATCTGGCTGACAATGCTATACTACGATTGTGCGCCAGTTTCCACGTAAAACGTGAAAATCAAAGACGATCATTTTCTTCATTGCAGCAAAGAGAGTCGGTTGGTTTTCGTCAGAGTTTAGATGAGCGACATAAACTACTAGTTATGAACGTTTCTCGGAAAAACAAAATTTATCATCAAAACTCAACAACAAAAGACATGAGAAAACAGAAATATGTAGAATATAACGATTAAACAGCGAAAAAGATTAATTGGGTTGTGGGACCTTGCGCAAGTAACTTTTCTTACTGGGCAGATCGATGAATTTTACTTTATCTTCTCCAAAAATGTCTTTCACCTGAAGCAACAAGTTAATTTGATTTGTTGAAGAAGCAGACCTCATTATCCTTCAGGGAAGGTTGGGCAACGCAATCATCGCCATTCTTCCAGTTCTCAGGTGTAGCAATCTGGAATGACATAATTAATTGAAAATAGTTTTGCAGAACGAACAGGGTGCTTCATTGTTAGTTGGAGGGAATCCACAAGTCTGAGAATTTCACTAAAAACATTGAAAGTAAATAAATAGACTGATCCAAGGTAGTTTACTCGAAATTTCTTCCCGTGGTTGCGGGGTACAGAATGGAGGCTTTGAGATCGTTCTTCGGGCCAATAATGAAAACAGCGCGGGCAGTCAAAGGTAAACCCTCTTTGTCGAGTTCATTAGGATCAAGCATTTCAAGTTTGGTAGCTAGCTCTCTTGAGTGATCTTCGATAATTTCGAAAGGAAACTGTTCAGCTGAAGAGTTTCTTAAACTTGTCAAGACCAAATAATTGTTTACCAGTAACTTTAGCATCATCCGCATAAGCAGTAATATCATTGATCCATTCTTTATGAGTTTCAGCAGAATCGCAGCTCAGAGCGAGCAGAACCACTTTTCTTTTTTTGAACTCTTCAGCTAATGAAGCCGCTCTAGCTAATTCTGTTGTACAAACAGGAGTGAAATCAGCAGGATGAGAAAACAGGATAGCCCAACTGAAATAGGAAATTAAAATCAACTGTGACCCATATCAACAACTTTTCTCCCTTGTGATCGTAGAAAGTAATTTCGCCAAGATTCGTTTTGGCTGTGAAGTTTGGGAAAGAATCTCCTAATTTCATTTTAGACTATAAAGCTGATATTAAGTCAGAAAACTCATTAGAGAATTAAGATATCGTTAAGTTTCCAACTTCAAGTGCTGAGGGAAGAAATTAGAACTATCACAACCAACAGCAAACTTTTAATAGAAGAAAAATAATAATAATTATTACAGTATTAATCAAGATCGTCCATTTGGTCTACTGCTGATTGTTTCGCACCAGGACCGTCATTGCCATCACTATCGTTAGCAGTAGTATATCCGTCTTCATCAACCTGCAATCAATGTATTTTAGCTATATAAAGGCATTACTAATACAATCATTACGTCATCTTCAAATTCAACATCTGATGCTCTGAACTGTTCTTCAGCAGCCCTTTCTCCTCCCATTAGTCCTATGTTTTATTAACCATAACGTGAAGAACTAGAAATTTAAAACCTCTGAGCATATTTCCCAAAAATCCTCCAGCAGCTCCTGGTTCAGAAATTTTGAAGAAAACTTTGCCAATTTTATCCAATAATGGCTTGTATTGAGGATCCCTATCTAGAGACGGTGTGTACTTGTTCACTAAATCGCAGAATGTTGCGGACTAAAACGGAGCATTGAGTTGGGGAAGTCCATGCTTGCCCACGTTTCTCTTTGGAACAGCCAACAACAGAAGCCAAATGAAGTTGATAAGAGGATATTTGCATGGCAATTCCCCATATCCAACAGGACTATTTCCGATGTAATGAGTGAAAAGTGTCCAAGCAGTTTTGGCCCTTTTCAAGCACAGTAACTGGAAAGATATTAGATGTAAACGTTTTTAGTATATTCAAACTTGGAGGACGGCCAGTGCAATGAAGAGATCGTGCTCATCAGGTTCACCAAATTTAGAGAGAGATGCGATGAGGAAGCGGGAGAAACCCTATAAAAATTTCAATACTTTTGAACGAAGTACCAATCACCTCGGCGTCTTCACTGAGTAAATAGTGTGTTCTTGCTCTTTCAATATCATCAAACTTGGAAAAAGTCTCTGCGAGACTCTTGTTGAGAGCATCAGTTCCATGGGCTGCTTCACGGGGGTTCCTCGAATGTTGCTGGGACCTGAAAAAGTAGTAAGAATGATACTCTTCAGCATCAAACCATTTAACCGCATCCGATATGAACTTATCCGTGGCAACACGGAATCTTTTAATTGCTAATCCAGCGTCAGTAGCCTCTTTCTCCATTTCAAGTTGCATCTCTAAGAACTGAAAGATTTTTCAATCAATAGGAGCGTATATAAAAGTGCTGACCATAATAATTTTTTCTATGTTTTCCGCAGTAGGTTTGGTATCAGAAACGATGAGGGCTTCAACGAATAAGCAACCCATGTCGACGCCCGATTCAAACTGTTTCTCTGAATGAATAGCTGATGCTCATACTTGCAAATTGAACCAACTTTTCAACAAAGTCATACTTCCATTGTAAGATACCCGAAGCAAATCAGAAAAACTTTTTGAGTTTTTATATCTAAAGCATAAAGTTCTGTATATTTGGTGAGCTTCATAGTAATCCTCCTTTTGAACGCATTCTTCGGCTTTTCCTTCTAAACGACCGAACTGAAAAATAGATTCATAAATACTTCCATTGTTTTCTAGTAAATTTGAACAAACCATCTTGCTGAATTGCAGGTGAAGAGCAGCAATAAAGAAAAGAAGTTGGACTCAATTAGAAATACGCAAATAACATTTCTACGCCTCTTTCGGTACGCAGTTGCGCGTGACCACTTTTTGTCTGGCGCAAAACTTAGCTAAGGGCATTCATTCAAATCATGATCACCGATGGCATGCATTCAACTTACGATTTGAATCTTTCCGATTCTGAAACTTTGTTACAATTTAGTTTTCAATCGATCTTGATGAACTGATATTTGATGATTATTCAGATTGGGTCTAAATAACAAGTATTGCAGATCTCATGGGGAAAAAGTCGCCTGCTTCGGGAACTGATGGTAAAGATAAACCTGGCCAATCTCACGGAAGTTCGTCTAGCCAGTCTCCAGAAGTTCCAAAGAGTAAACAAATTGTCATAATATTTTTGCGTGTAATACATCATTCAGAAAGAGAGAAACTTCAGAAGCAAGGATCTGTCTCGAATGGTGAAAAGTCAAGTAAGGAAGTTAAGGTTAAAACAAAATCTGACAGTAGTGCTAGAGACAAACCTACCACGTGAGTGGAGCCTAATGGTTCAGAAACTTTAAGTTCTAAATTTAAGTTCGAAGAGTATAGTAGTAGAAGAGAATGTTGCTAATGTAAGAAAAAAAGAGGAAGACAGTGAAGACGATGAAGTAATTATTCGGAGAAGACATGCGGAACACGGTTAGTTTTAAAAAGATTGCTTTAAATAGGTAGATCTAGTACAACCACGAGTAATCCAAAACGCACCGAATCGAACAACTGTAGAGCTGTCTCGTCCTCGGAATGTTGCGTATGTTGTAAGTCCGTTTAATATATGCGTAACTGTAGGTTTATACAATAGTTTCTGATTTTCAAACTGTCTTCAGCAATATGCAGCTACTACGATTGAGATCCCCGCAGATCGCCTGAGCGCTGTGGAGCTGATTGACGCTGACGTGAAAAGTGGGTTTATAACTAAATTTTTTTTTGACATATTATATCTTATTTGAAACGTTTTGCCTGATTTGACTATGGTTTATTAAACACTTTGCAGAGAACAAACCATCCCCTTCTCGCGTAGAAACTGGAAGACAAAGGTCTAGTAGAAAGAATAAGTGAGTAAAAAATCATTTTAGTATTGAATAGAGTTTCCTTTCAGCGACGATAGAAACGGTTCTTCTAGAGGTTTTCAATTAGTTGCTGAATTTTTCTTCATGTTCTCCATTGCTTACAGATGATGATAGTCGAACTGATGAGAAAAGAAAGAGAGAGAGTACTAGCCCAGGTTGATTTCAAGTTGCACTTTTTAACAAAAAGTTGAGTTTAAGTTCCCAAACAGAGATGTACAGCTGGTCCGTCTTTCGAAGAAGTTAACGAAAGAATAGAAGAGTTACGAAAGCACAGAAGGTACGTTCTTTCTTTCTGATTTTACTATATCTTTTTTCAGTCGAAGACGCTCTACGAGTCCTGCATCGTTATGCAGTAGTGAAGATTCAGTTGATTTGGATTTGTTACGAATGATGGTAATATATACTATTATACATTCAAACATTGTCTCTATAGAACCTTGACGCCTTTAAAGCCTGTATGATGGATCCAAACGCTCACCCGAATCTACTTTTAAAAAGGAGATTTTTAAAGCCGAGCCCATCTCGGGCTGTCCTTCGGGGACCGAGGAAACTAGAAGGGAACGAAAATTCAGTTCGGAAAGCTGCGTGGTTAGTCTAAGTCTCGTTATGAGAGTGATTCAAACTGTATTTATATAGTCGTGGTGCCGTACCCGAAGATGTGAGAAGGTTACTCCTTCGAGAAACCTCGGAACTAATGAATTCTTGTCTGAGCTCTAAGGAAATGGATATATTGAAAACTATCAATAGAATTAACGAACGACCTGACATTAAAACTGATCTTTTTTCTAAATGTCTCATCGAGTATAATGGATTAGAGTGAGTAATTTAGATTGTGATACAGTTATAGATGTTATTTTAGGAATCTCGTAGATCCACAAGACCCCACAAACTTGTTTGGTACGTTGTAAGTATTGCTCTCCCGTTATTTGGCAGTGTTTCAGTTCATTTACCTGAGGTTCCCTTCTTCCGAAAGTTTGATATAGAGCTTATGATCCCAGGTAGTTCATTTTTTCTATCAAGTTTGATAGAATTTTCAGATGTGGTGCCATTCATTCCCTGCAAGTACAACTTTGATCTGGAGATGTTCGTTCAGTTGTGCGACCATTTACTCAATGATAATCTAAACAACGCTTTCAGTAAGCTTATCTCTTTTCTAGTTGTTTTTCTATGACTCTTTCTAGAACCACTGCCAAAGTTCAAGGATCGGATGCTGGATTTCCCAGAGCGTATACATTCAATAATCGTTAACTTCGGAAAGTTAGAGGAGGCGAACCCAAGTTTGTGTCAAACTACGTTATCTTCTTTCACGGGATTGTTCCAGGTTGCATAGATGTGAATACAACAATTGGCACAATGAAAGGATTATTAACACCAAAAAGAGCAGATGATCTTAACAATATAGGTGAAACTTTAGTAAGTACATGCTGAGTAGTAGACTGACCACTTACTTCAGAACACAGGCATCACGTTAGAAACCATTAGCGAGCAACTACATGATTTGAGACAAATTATTGTCAGTTATAGCAATGTGATAGAGGATTACATACTTAAGCGCACATCTGGTATTGAACAAACTGCATGGCGATTCTTCAAGGTTGTCTTTATGTTGATTTTTCTTTCAACAATTAACTTCAGAAGGAGTATGAAGTCGTTAGTTATCACACTTATAACTCTGTGGCCCAAACTTACATCAAAATGGCTATGGCCGCGCGATTGAAGTGGCCGACTTTGAACCTATTGAGATCAAGATTCGTATGTTGTAATATAATTTTGTTATTTTGAAAGACGGTTTAGACACTACTGTATCACGGATGGAATTGCTACATAAGGCAGTTACAAATTGCTGAAACTGCTCGTCGGGAACTGTCGAAGAAATCTATTGATCCAGTTATTTGGGAGGCAGCTGCTTTTATCAAAAAAAGATATGGTCAGATATAATCTGTTTCTTTCTCTGTAACTATTCTCATCCAGATCAAGCATTACCGTCTTTGAAATATATGTTTTCGATGGAACGATTCGATAGGGTTCTTTTCACCCTCGGTTACTGCATGACACCTGCCGAACTTCGTCTCATAATTGAAGACTCTTGTGATGAAAATGCCACAAGAATTTATGATTTACAGAATGGAACTCAAACCTATAGAAGCACTTCAGAGTGTGCGATCTGTAGACTGAGTTTCACATCTCCTCACATTTATAAGCTTCATATGAACTTACATTCCACATCTGCGACTTGTCGAGTGGTAAGTAACCTTCAGTCTTAACTCAAACTGTTGATTGAATTTAGTGCTTCAAAAACTGCTATAAGATGTCACTGTTGTTCATCCACGTTTTAGAGAAACATCCCAGAAAGGTTACTTTTTCCTCATTGTATAGTTCTTGTTATAATGAAATGAACTTGTCGATAAATTTTGATATTAATACTTTCAGCTCATCGATTTCATTGATCATGCCGTAGCAGACGCTCCTCGCCAGTTCACTGACCGTTAAAAATTCTTGTAATATTCTGTATCAAAGGAGCATACAGCATAGATCGTGATAAGATCTTCATAATGCAGTTTTAATTTTTTAAATTAATTAAACTTTGGCAGCTTAAGCGCAACTATGCCACATGGATAACAAGATTGGTTATAGTTGGTTTTAATCTTCTTGTTTTATGCTTAATAAATAATTTCGTATTATTGTAGCTTATTGGATAATCGTAGATTGCTTCTCAAATACATACGATGAGAAGAAAAGAAAACTATATAGTTCGTGTACTTTTATGAAGATTGGCGCTAATATGTTGACCATACGCGGAAGCCAAGTGACATGTGTCATAATAAGCAAACAGTTCTTAGCTAGAACCTATTTTACTTAAGGACAATCTCTCCTCCTCCTTCTTCGGCTTGTTCAGATTTCAGTAGCTTTATCTGGTCAGTTGGTCTACTCAACTCCTTTTATAGCCATGATTTGGACATTGCTTCTTTTTGGTATATGCCATGTCGTCTATTCTCAAAGTATCTATGACGACTACCATTATCAACAAAGCTTGAGCCAACTGGGTCAACAGCCTCAAATTTTCATCCCCTACATACAGTCATCACCAGTAGGCACCATGAACTATGTTCAATTGGGGGTACATTGTGACTCATCTTCAATCCTTATCGTTCATACTTCCAGCCGAAAAACTTGACTAACCCGTTCGCTGCGGTCATTGCATCTCCGTCACTATCTCTACCAGGTTCTCCTACACCGGCTTCAGCTGTGCCGATTCCAAGAGAATGTGGACCAGAAGAGCAAGAGAGAGTCCGTCAATGTGCTGATCCTCTATATCGGGTTGGAGCATTAGCTGAAGATGGAGGTAGCTTATCTTGGCAACATTTCTTGAGCAGGACGAGAGAATACTTCACTGATGTTTGCGAGTAAGTAAGGGTGCTCTGACCATACATGAGTTTAATTTTTTCCAGCAATTTCTTCATTTTCGATCTCTGTATTGAGCCTTATAAAGATGTTTGCTTCGATAGTTCTAAGGCAAGATTCAGATATGATGCTGCTTTGAAAGTTTTGGATTTCATTTGTAGAGATGGTTATGGAGGTGACCCATATTACACAACTGTTCTAACATATTTATTTCTTCAGAACTGATGAGAAACTTTGATTGTTTCACGAAAACGTTGACAAGAGCCGAAATGATGCAATGCCAAGCGGAGATGGTTGCCGATACAAGAAAAGTCCCCCAAGGTAGTGATGTTGTGACACGTAATGCGGCGGCGTGCGGGTAAGATGAAGTTAGAAATACTATTAATATTTGTTTGGTTTCTATAGAGCTATGAGAAACTACGTTGATTGTGTGCGATATCCGGTTAGGTACGAATGTGGTTACAGGGCTTGGCAGTTGATCCGGGAGCTGATAGTTAGACCAACTGAAGCTTTACTGCCTGGCTGCCAATTGAACTCAGCTCGAAGCTTTTTGAGCCTCAATTTTGTGATTTTATTTATTGCTTGGTTGTACTTGTAATTATTAATATATTGTACATAAAAGTATTCATGCCCAGAATTTTTGTTTGGCGTATTTTCTTTCAATCTGCCGTGATGCCACGTCAAACAGTCCACGTCATTATTCGAAGTTAGGTCCGTGAGACGGTTGGCTGCTTGAAACTTGAGCAATGGGAATAGGGTTTGTGGCAAAACGATAATTGAAAAATGGATAATTTAAGTTTAATTTTTCCTTTTTTCCTTCTCGGATTCAATCTTGGGTTCACTGAAGCAGCCCAAATGGTTTTTCCAAGTAATGGTACGGTTTAATCAGACATTTTCGGAAACCACAAGTCACTTGATGTAAGGAATGTTGTAAATGTAAAGCGAATAAGTCTTTTGTTTTAAGTTCTAGAATAATCCAATTATTTGCAGAAACGCTAGGTAACGTATCATTTTAAAAACTAATTTGAAAGTCACCATTTAGCGATGAAGGCAATGAACTTACATATCTACTTGACTGCATTAGGTGCCACAATCGTTATGGCCGCAGTTGTGCTCTATGGTTTCTTGAAAGCGGCAGTGTTATATACCAACAAGAAAAAATTGGCAAAGGTAAAAGAACAAGAAGATAATGGAGAGAATAGCAAATGTAGATTGAATGGAGAGTTCTGGGGGCAACAGATTGCCGTTATGTGGAATATTTGTGTGATATAATGCAGAACACAGACCGTCACAGTAGAGGAGCTTTCAAATCAGGATTCACATCATCTGGAGCAACGACAAGAACTGGTGCAACTACAACTGGAGGAACAACTGCAGGAATGTCAAGCACAGGCTTCACAAAACGGACAAAGGGAGGAACTACTGCGTATACTTCAAAGGGTGCTACTGCGTACACGACAAAAGGAACCACGGGCTACAGCACCAAAGGAGGTTCAACAACCAGAACTGGTAAAACACGATCCTCCAAAAGTGTGTTCTAATAATAATTTCATTTTAAAAGTACAATGTTGTAAACCTCTAAATAATTTTTCCACAAATAAATGTTTTCCCTCCACTATGCACTAGAACGCATTCGATGATTATTGTGGTTGTTATGTAAAGGCAACTGTTTTCGATTTGCGGAAGAATTCTAGTTTCAACTTATTTTATAAATGTTCGAGAGGCATACTCCATTTTTGTTTTTCGACCTTCATCAGCGATGATGATTTAAAATCGAGTTGTTGGTAAATTTCTGCACATTTTTTTCAAATCGTTCATGATGTTCAAGGTCGATTCAGAAAGAGTTCTCTAACGCATAAATAGACGGCGAACTCGATGTTCCGAACCTTCCGCCAATATCATTTCTGGCCGTCGCTTCCTTTTTTGTCATCCTTTTTATAGAACAAAAGCCCGAAAAAATGTTTCAAGATAAATGATCAAAGACTCAAATAAAGAATTGTTACGTTGATCTCTGTGTTCAAACGCTCTACTTACAGTTTGATTCTTTATTGTCATCATTTTTGATATCACTTGTTGTTTCTCTTTTTGTAAATGAGTATGTCCCTGATAAGACCTGGGTATTAAAAGGACATTGATGCCACTTGTTCGACTAGTTTTTTTTTATTTGTTCATTGGCTCTATATAAATAACTTTATCACATTGCTTCAGAACTCCAGTCAAAATGGTTCACTACAAGCTCACTTACTTCGATGGACGTGGTCTTGGGGAAATCTCTCGACAAGTAAGAAATCCCTTGTTTGACTCTCCTCAATGTTAGAGCCTAGCTTTTCCACCTTGCTGAAACTCCATTCGAAGATGTTCGTCTTAACTTCGAGCAATTCGGTGCTTTGAAGAGCAGTGAGTTTCTCACATCTGACTTAATCACTTACATCCAATATTCACAGCTTTCCCCTTTGAGCAAGTCCCCGTTTTGGAGGTTGACGGACAAGTTATTCCTCAATCAATCGCTGTCGCTCGTTACTTGGCGAAAAAATTCGGTAAGCTATTCAAGTTTTTTTGTTTAAAGCATTTGGTTCTAGACTTTTACGGAAAATGCCCATACGAGCAAGCTATTGTTGATGCTATCGCTGATCAATACAAAGATTTCTACGTTGAGATGAAGCCCTATTACTATTCTGCTATCGGAGTTCAACCAGTTACCCCAGACGAACTTGTACGAACTATCCATTTGTTTTATATATCTCTATCATTTGTTTAGAAAAAGTTGGAAACTGATGTTCTTGTTCCAGCAAGAGATAAGTTCTTACGCTACATGACCAATTACTTGAAGAAAAGTTCCTCTGGTTGGTTATCAGACCCTTTCGGTGCATGAATATCTCTTTTATAGGTTTCTTGGCAGGTGGATCTCTCACCTTTGCTGATCTCATTGTCGCCGAACATGTGTCAACCATTCTCACAATCTTTCCTGCTTACGTTGACTCGTACCCTGAGGTTTGACCTTTGCTATTGACGCTAGTTAAAGGATGTATGTTTGAAGGTGAAGACCCATTTGGAGAAGGTCCATGCTGTTCCTTTGCTTAAGAAGTGGCTTGACTCTAGACCAGTCACCAAATTCTAATCATATGTTCATTCTTGTATAAACATTAGTGTAATGACTGCGATTCTTTCACTGAATATAAGATAATTTCAATAATGGGGATAAGGCTTTGAAAGACGTATGAGATAAGGCTTACAACTACTGTTTCTGGTGTAACGTAAATAGGAGTTGAAAATAATAATGATTACGTTATCATTTGTTTCTTGTTAGATAAGAGTGTACATGAAAGCAGAAGACATTCGAAAGTGAGATTAGTATCCCGGTGGGAGTCTTGGTGGAGGGCAATGATCACACGATCCTCCAGCCCCGGCAGCTCCTGGTGGACCTCGCTCTCCTCGTGCTCCTTCCCGTCCGTCCAAACCTGGTAATCCTGTCTCTGCAAAATAAGGCTTATCCGTTTTAGCAGTGATTCCGTATTAAAGAATTCATCTCTTTTTCTGATCTTACCGCCTGGCAATCCTGGAGATCCTTGTGGTCCTGCTTTTCCATCAGGCCCTCTAATGCCTTTTAATCCTGGGGAGCCCGGCAATCCCGGAACACCAGGAGGTCCAGGGGGTCCAGCGATCTATATTAAACCTTTTAAACTTTCTTTTCTTAAAGTTCTTACGATTATGACTCTTCCATCTTCTCCTTTAGGACCTTTAGGTCCTGGCTTTCCTGGTCGCCCAGTTGGTCCTGAAGGTCCTGTAAGACCTGGTTCTCCTTTTTTTCCATCCTTGAATAATTCATTTAATCTCTCTCTAGAGTTTTACATAGCAACCGTCTTCGTGTTTTAATGGCTAAGACTAAACAATTCTTTTCGGACCACGCGTAAGAGTCCACGTACCACGTGTTCTTTTACGTCATCTCGAACGTGTTCAATTTCTCTTCATTTTGTTTGAAAATTTTCCAAATAGGAGAAAAACCTACTTGTCCTGAAATTCCAGGCGATCCTCTAGGTCCAGGAGGTCCTTTAGGACCCATGGGTCCGGAAGGGCCTGCTGCACCAGCAGGACAAATAATACATGGCTCTGGTGGATTACTCAAAGGCGGTAGAAGCTGAAAGCATTCGCTTCATAGACATAAAAAAGCGTGTCACACTTGTCCATCACGGCCATTCAATCCATTTTGTCCCGGTTTACCATCTAATCCATCTTCCCCATCATCTCCTGATGGTCCAGGTGGACCTGGTGGACCTTGTTGACATGAACAACCTGGAACATGATAATGTATAGAAAATGAAGTCAAAAAACGAACATGATGGTTCAAATTCTTCAATAGCAGCTGCTTCCGTTTGATATGGGATGTAGGAATCACCATTGTTATATTGGTTCGCATCTAAAATCATTAAGTTTGATTGACATTTGAATACTTTAAAAAGTACTTTTCACTCCTTTCGCTTTCTTCCTCCCATCAATCCATTGACCAAATGACCATTCTCTACGAACTCTTGCTGAGGTGGGATCGTTATTGTCTTCGGAAGTTGCATTTGCTGATCTCTTAGGAAGGTTTCGAAACCCTCTCAAACTATCCTCAACGGCGAACACCTCAATCCACATGTCCCTGGTTTTCGTCTAAAATAGAAAAGCAATCATAGCTTCACCAATAAATTCAAGCTTCAAGTGTAACTCTTGAATTATTTATTGTCTAAAATACATTTTTCTTCTGATTTTTGTTCACTTTTTTACTTTTTCTCTCCCAAAACATACCCTACAATATGTCATTTCGTCGGCCATATGAGTTTGTAAAGTTTGCAAATAACTATAAACTAGAGGAAGTGTTATAATAGAAGAGAAGACTGCAAATGTTGAAACGATCGTCTGAAAGTATCATTTGAGTTCTACCTCCTTCCTTCAAGAAGAGATAATCTTATTCAAAACTCACAGCTATAATGACTGTTCGACGTAGGCGAGCAGCCTCTTGCTCTTTAACCTCTGTCATATTGTTCATCAGAGGGTGTGACTAGTTGATGAGCTAAGACGAAGGTAGTTCTACGAATACTATGACTGAAATTAGAAATTTGAGAGAGCGTTCAGAAAGGTTATAAAACGAATTGTATTTGTGTACAATTAGAAGGAAATATGAAAGGTCGTTCAGAGAACTTTATGAAAATTGTCATATATGGTCGTATACAGCTTGTGAGTTAGGTCAACTAGTAAAAATGAAAAGAAAAGAATATACGATCATAATTAGAACGATGGAATAGATTATGTCCTAGTTGAAAATCTCAAATATTTAGTTTTAAATAAGATAAACATACAAGGTATTTGGAATAACTTCGAATCTCGGAAAGAAGACGATGAAACAAGATTAGCCGTTTAAATACAAAGTTCCCATGTTTTAAAACTTGATACCCTGCTGCGGCTTCATTATACTGTAAACCATCCGTTTTGTATTGAATATGCAAATTTCTAATGAAAAAGTTGATATATGGGATCAGCTTTATGTGTATTCGGACTTGGATATTATTTCATTTGCATATTTTTCCCTTCGACCATCTAAGGATAAGATGCTTTTTACCGGATTTAACGGACTTTGACGGTTGCAATCGATGAACAGGCGAGAAGCTTTTGTTGAAGACGAGATAAACGAATTGAATGAATTAGGAAATGCAACCGTTCTCTGATAACTGTCTCAGTCAAATGAACATGACTGTGCTGTCGAGGGACACGTGTACGTGGACTTTCATGTATATGCAAATTTGATATGAAATCGTTCTAAACTGTAGATATACTAATGAAGCAGTTCAGCCACAAAACTTTTTTGGAAGAACAATACGTTGGGGACAATTGACTGCCAAATGTGCTTTTGTAACAGTTTGAGATACAAACATTAGCTTCTTTTCCACAAAACTAATTGAATGAGGAAAAGAAGATTTGCTGTGACGATGTATATCCTCAGAACTAAGTTTTCATATTTAACATATATTATCCATTTCTTATCCATATTTAAAATTTCTATTATAATCGAGTGTTCGTGGAGATTTGTTTGATTCATTCAAGAAAGACTTTGAGCTGATCAGATGTAAATGAAATGCTTGCTTATTTAACTTTTCTTTTTCCAAATGTGAACCCTGCTTCCAATGTGGCATCATAGGTTCAAGACGATCGAAATGTCTCTCAATGGTTGCTGTTTTTTTAATCTCTCTCTTTCTCTCTCTCTCTCTTTAACTCTCTCTCTCTCTCTCTCTCTCCATTGACTTATCCTATTCTCTCTCTCTCTCTCCCTCTCTCACACCTTTCGTAATTATCCCGATTTTAAGCATTTCACTATTTATGAATATTTTGTATGAATTTTGGAAGATAGGACAGATGCTCAACGGCATTTCTTAAAGAACAAACTTCTTTTTCATTTACTCTAATAATTTTTTATTTTATACTCTTTTATCTATTGATTGTATTTTCATATACATCCGTTTGCCACGTTTGTTTAAAAAACCTTCCAAGTATGCTTTCTGATAGATTTCTTCTCAGAATTAGAGAACTTGAGCCATTATTTCCAAAAAAAAGCTTTCAAATGAGATGAAGGAAGACGCTTGGGACTTGTAGGATAAAGCTTGGCCGAATCAAAAATCCTTTGAAACTTCTTACAACATATGATTTCAACTAATTCATTTTGGGAATTCCAAAAGTTGATTACCATTTTCACGTGAATTTCGACGTGGATAATTCAGTTTAAGACAAAAATAGTGTTAATCCTTGAAATACTTATAAATCTCTTCATATTTTTCAATATATATACTATATATATTATTTTTTACAAGTCTCATAAATAATAAATAAATTCCGAATATAGCTGACTATGAAACAAGCTACACACACACTGATTGAAATCTATGATCAGTTCCATTTCTTGGATTCGTCACTTTATGATTCACACATTTTTCCCTATCGTACACTTCAGTCTTGAAAGCCAAACATTAAATTGTGAATAGGGCGTAGCGTATTAGCTTGCTCCTCTTTATCTTTTTTCATATCAACATCACCCTACCTGCATAATAATGCTATTGTGCATGTCGCTAATGACTACTATGATTAACTTGATGATCGCACACTATCTATGTATGACTCCACATTGAGATAGTAATGCAAAACTGCTTAATCACATACCGATACAAGCATTACTTGGAAATAAATGCCATGATCATATATTTATCAGTGAATCATTTATTTTTTATCTCAGATGCAATCAAAATATATAAAGGAAAAATTTGAAATGATTATCTATAACTTGTCTGGAAAAACGTCAGTAATTGTACTTAAATTATCTATCTATACATTATCACTACATAGGTCATTGTTGAAGAATACAGTGGTTAACTACGAAGAGAGAGATAGAGAGAGAGAGAGAACTTTAATGTTTTTTCCTTTTTTTCTCTCTACGTTCCCTTTTTATAATTTATATGATTATCGTTCTCTTAACTTCTTTTTTGATCTTTTACTCAGTGTAACAGTGTTCTCAGTAGCAATAGACCAACACTTTTTCCGTTAATAGTTAACCCTATATTTGGTGATCGTTAACTGAGAATCCATGTAAACAGTTCAAACAGATAGATCTTGCCGTGAATAATCTATTTGATGCGCAGAATAGGAGATCGTTTAGATCACCTTGTCCTTCCCAAAAAAAGCTTCTCAGCAAAGTTCAGAGTTGACAAATGGAAAACGGAAGTTGGAAATGTCGCCCATGATTGATGGTTTTCTTAATGCGTATTTTGGTTAACAATCACAATAGTTTAGCTTAACTGATAAGATAAACTTCGAAAAAAAAAACCTTTTCTATTATTCAGCGCTGATTGGTTAAGAATTTGTAAGTAAAAGGGAGGTGTCAGTAGGTGATTGAAACATCAGATACGTTTTTCCTCTCTTCATTTGACATTATTTCCATCTATTCTCTTACTTCTTCTGTATTGAATAAAGAAGAATTTCTTCGAATTATTTTTATTTATTTCGTTTGTATATGATCTCTCAACTTTCATCATTAAAACGGGTTATGCGGAGGTGATAGAAAGAGAGAAAAGAGAGTTAAGAGAAAAGAGGGGTTCGAATTAAAAGGAGAACTAATGATGCTGATGATCACCAATTGAATGTAGAATCTCTTACCTTATTTGATTTTAAATTATGAATATTAACAAGCATTTACCGTACTCTCATTTTTCCATTTTACTCTTCTTCTTGATATTATTTACGTGTGATAGCATATGGAGCGGAAGTTTGTTCGCGTGGGTGAGGTTACAGTTAATCAGTGTCGAAGTAGGGTGGCTCATACTCTTTCAGATCAAACCCGCCCACACCTTGTTACTTTTGAATCTTTCTCTCTCTCTCTTTCTTCATCTTTTTCATCGTATTCTTCTCACTTCAGTTGAACTGCACCTTCTTCCGGTTTACATATTCCTTAAGTAATTGAGATACAAATCAAAAATCCTGTCAGACTGCAATTAACAGACGTAAAAGTCATGTCCACCCAAAATAGCATTTTCTTCTTTCTTTTTGGCATTCAGAAGAAGAACTAGACACATATTTATGAATCGGAAATCTAAGAATAGACTTAGGGAATCGTATCTTCTTCTCTGATTCTCTTTCTCATCCATAATGATTACGGTAATTCGTATCATTATAATCAAACTAACAAGCAAATATTTGGAAAAAAAATACAAGATAAGTCTAGAATGCTTACCAGCTCTTCAGTTGCTCGCTGGTCGCCAAGAGATATCTCGGTATTCCGATAAGCACGACCGCTTCCGGCCAGCAACCTTATTCGACCATATATTTTCAGATCTTTTTTTTATCATTTTTATCTTTCAACTCTAGAGTTAAGATCAGATGTAATGACGTCAGTTTGAACATAAAAGCAGACCTGTCACTGTCAAAGTCGTCAGAAAGTTCGGAAGAACATCCGTACGCAGACTGCTACTCTCATACTATTTTAGGTTAACAGCTTGTTTACTTTTGTGCTCTGTGCTCGGATGAAGATCAGGCTCACGAATCCCTTTGAAATAATGTTCGGATCTCTCATTGATCAGGAACTTCTGATGAAAACTCAGAAGAGAGTTTGTAGCCGACTCTTGTAAAAAGTATAACGTGCTATTCTACCAACTTTTTTTTTTCGTTACATTATCTCAGTCATAAGTTGAATGCTCTTTGATTCCGCTTCTACCTATATGTCATTTCGCTTATCATCCTATTGATGGTCTTACGAATATTCAGTTTGCTTACAGACAACGCTCAAACTTAATCTTCATCAATTTTTTAGTTGAAGCATTTAAATGAGAATGGTATGATTGAAGTTTAAGTTTGTCTTTAAGTTTTAGTGTTTCAGGATCGTCGCCGGGAGCCACGTAGCTTTGATAAGCCATGTGAGATTTGTGGAGGATCAGCTACGGGGTACCATTACGACGTAATTACAAAATTAATAAGCTTACGGTAATTCATGTTTTTGTAGGTTCCTTCATGCAATGGGTGTAAGACGTTCTTCAGAAGAGCTATACTGTCAGGAAAGAATCCGGCTTGCATTCAAGGTGATGGATTATGTATGACTCGGACAATAATTGGTAACATGCCTTGTCTAGAACATATCAAGACAAAAGATATTCCAGATAATCGAATAAAGTGTAGGAAGTGTCGTCTGAACCGTTGTTTATCGAAAGGAATGCGTCTTGACAGTAAGTTCAGCGGCATATAAGGGGCTGTTCTGAATTCGAGAAATTTAGACATTTCCATGAAGAATACGGTAATACCCGAATGCTGCGAACCATCGACAAGTGGTGAAAGCTCTCCGACGTATAAAATACAATCAGTATGCTTAGCAAAAAAAAAACAAGAATTATATCTATACAACCTAGAACTCACCCCCGATACGTAGTGTTACGAGCGAAATATCTCAGAGAGCGAAGACACCGGAACAGTTATCATCATTTTTAGAAAACTTATCGTCTATAGAATTGCGTGTAGATATAATGAGGTGAAAATCATATATAAACTCAGTTGAACAGAATTCTTCTAGGACTAAGACACCTCGAGAAGATGATCTCGCTATTGAAGAACGAAGGCTATTACAGCTCTTGTCTCAAGGAGCCGTTTTTGGGGATTTATCTCGATTTGAGGTGAGTCTACCTTTACTTTCTCAAAATGACTAAGCTTTTCAGGTTTTCGAGCCTCGTTCTGATGATGAAAAACCTATTGAGCGGATAAACAACAGGTAGTCGAATCTATAACATCAAAAACTGTAAGATTTTGATAGTTTGCCACAATGGCTGACCACAGACTTACTATGTGGATTACAATACGGTCGTATGTTTGAAGAATTCCGGATGTTATCGGACATACAACAGGTTTTTCATTAATCTCAAGAAAAAGTTAGGAGAAACAACGTTGTTCCAGACTGAAGTTTTGAAATCTTCGATATTTCCACTTACGGTAGCTCAACAATCATATCAATGCTTCACAGACGATTTCACTTACATTCGAATGCCCATAGAGGAAATGGACTTATCAACAGTTTACTCATTGTAGGTGTTTAGGTTTTCGATCATGTTCTATGATTCATATTGATTACAGCTTGAGGAATATGAGGAGAGAGCATAATGAAGTTTTCGCAAAGTTCATTCGACCATTTCTGCGAGAACATGTGGATCGAACAGAGTTTCTACTTCTTAAAGCCATTATGCTACTTAATGCTGGTAATCAGAAATGAAGTTTCGTATCTCATATATGATATTCAAGTGATCTCTACCATTTCTTCTTCACCTTCGGCGGAGAAAGTGCAAGCCTCTCGTGGTTCTTACATGAAGTTCCTTCTGGATTATCTCATTCGGAAATGCGGAGAAAGTGCTGCTCCTGCTAGATACTGGGCGTTGATGAATTTGTTCCAAACGTTCATTGCGACAGCAAGCAAAGAAAGTAAGCTGTTTCTCTTCTATTCGTAACTCACACATTACTTCAGACGCCTCTGAAGTCTAATCGTCTCTCATTCAAATGTTCTTCAGCAATGCTTTAAGTGAAATTATGGGTTACAGTTTCTGCATAATTATATTCTTTAAATAAACATTTTTCATCAATCCCTGTTTATTAGCGTTTCACGTGGGTGAGCAATACACGTCACGTGTTCCGAGGAATATTCATTTTGGTTGTGAGCAGACGCACGAACCGGTTGAACTTTTTCAATATATTTATTAGATGAGACCATAATTATTGCATAATTTCGTCCAATAAAGGAACATATCTGGAGCCTTCGGGGTGTTTCCGAACAAGCTTGATCGTCACATGAATATCTTTCATTACTTGGGTGTTAGATTCAAGAGCGTTAATCATTGCCAAGTTAGCAGCATATCGCCCAGTGCCCGTTGATCCACTGAAACACAGAATGAAACATATAATCAAGTATGCTATTTCTCACAAAGTGGCCAAACAATGGTTGAGCAATGTCTTGTTTGTCCGTAATCGCTCCTCTTGTACTAATTCTCTTCCTTGTTCTGATAAGTCGCTCACTGAATAGTTGATTACACATTTCATTTCTGATCAATGAAAACTTACTCGGATTACATAAAATAATTTTTTTCAATAAAACATATTCGGTTTTCGTATAATCTTTTTCAAATAACATGCTTATCATACGTTTCTTTATGAATTCAATCGATGCGAATCTGGAATTGAATGTTCAAGAATACATAAAATGAAGAATGGAGTTACGTTTCTCGCAAACAATGATGCTCCTCTTTCCAAGGGGGAGGATGATTATGAAACCGTCTTAGAGTCGTTCCATCCGGATGTATAAGATCATTTGATTTTTGAGAATATGAATAGAATGCTTGGGCCAAATTAAAGCATAATAAAGCTGATGATTTGAGCAGATTAACCTATAATTAGGATTTTATCTGATATAAGCTCATCTTCAGCTTTCTTACTCTGTCATTTTCCGATAATTTATGGAAAAATGAAAATGTTTTTGCATATTCTACAGATGTAAGTAAATCATATATAAACCAGTTTTTCATCTCAGGAGTATGTTCATGAATTATTTTTCCATTTTCATCAAATTTTGGCATACATGCGGATTTATCTAATGGCCAGTTAGGCATTGGCTAGAACAAGGCTTCAATAGATGAATGTCTCTCTAATACTCACCCCTAATCGATCAGCCAAATATAATTTACATCCATCTGTGACTATTTCATTCAAAGAAGGTATATCACATGATTTTGGATTAAACTTACAAGCCCTGAACTTTTCAGTCTGAGAATAATTGAATCAATTATATGTGAAATTAGAAACGAGAATCTTACGGTAATTTCTAAATACATTAGTTCTGATATCAATCGCTCAGTTTCATCTCTAAGAGGTAGAAATGCTGGAGTCTGCAAGATAGAGTTCATGAACAGTTCTTCATCAACAGTGATGGTTACATACAATTGTAAGTGCGATTTCACTCTTTTCCTCCTCAATGGGTTTCCTTTTCTTGGATAACTCCACTACGAGATCATTATTTGTATTTGTTAATTGGATTGCTGAAATGAACACGAAATGATATTCTAATGCATGAGAAAGCTCTCACCCAAAGCATTCATTCCAACTTCAACGCATTTCTGGAATCGGCACGCTTTACATGAACATCTTTTCTCTAACAATAAATAGCATTAAAGGACTCTATGAGATATTTCTCACCTATTGGAGGGATTTCAAAGCATTTTCCCCCTTTTTGGCAAGAATATTTTTTCTGAGACAAGACTGTTCGCCGGAAGAACGTTTTACAACCATTGCATGAGGGCACCTAATGAGATGACAACGTATGAGAGCAATATAGACAAAGACTACTTCATAATGATATCCAGTGGCTTTGCCCCCACAAACTGAGCAAACAGTTGGACAGACGTTTTTCGGAAGAGTTGGACTTCCAAGTGATGATACTCCACTATCACTTAAATAATAATTTATTCTAAAAATAACATCTACTCAATAGGACTGACATGACATACAACTAAGAACTCACGCAATGATTACACGTGGCAAATAAAATATGATTATTGATTTACCTTTGTGGAGAAGACGACGAAGTTTTATTGTTATAGAATATGTCATTAGCATGATAGATGACGTTGCCTTCATACGTTTCCATGCAGATAATCTATATGTTATAAATTAGAAGAATATGTTGAATATACGAAAATATGATGGAAGACATTATGCAATATGAGGAGGCACAGAGAAATTTGAACTATCTTTTCATTCAAAATGAAAAAAAGGAAAATAATCGAAAATCATGGCTCAAACTTCGGAAAAGGAGAAATAGATAGAGAGAGTATGAGAGAGAACAGTGAGGAATGAGAGATAGAAGTGAAATTATAAAGAGTGACGAGAGAATGAATCGTCCGTTTGACTGTCGCTAGTGAGCGACAAGCATACACTCCTTCAATCGATTTTCCGCAGCCACTTTTCTTCTCTGCTTCACTACCCGTTCAAAAAAAAACAATTAAAATGGAATAAAGTTTAATAAAAGAGAGCAAAAAGAAAAATAATAATGGAATACGTTTCATGGCAAAAGATAAAAGAAGAAAAGAGAAGAAATTTGTAACTTTCAATATTTGTACAACAGACAACCAACATTGCAATTGCCCGATGAGTCATCGTAAAGAAGATTAACATATATCACACAGTTTATCCGAAATCTAGATAATTAGTGTTCCTATTTAGGAAATTCGAAACATCCTTTGGCTGTCAGGGCATCACTTGTTTGTTTTCTTTTCAGATCTGCCAATTGATGATCCAACTGACTTTCTTCAAATTTGAGCATTTCGTATTCGTACGTTTCCGGCTCTAAAGTTGGTTTAAGAAGAAATCAAAAATCACACCAAGTATACTTACCATATGGTTTGACAATTTTTAATTCTCCTCTCACTAGACTGTTCGATTTCTTTGCAGAAGCCAAAGTTTCCTCTAAGATTTTCAATTCACTCTGTAGTTGAATGACCTTGTTAGACCAGAGCTCTTTCATGTTCTTTAAATCTTTGAACTCCTCAACAAATGATTTTTATATAATTATGAAGTGATCAGTATATACTTTGTAGTTTAAACTGTTTTTCCAAGAAACAATCAGAGCTAATTGATGCTTTGTTTCAGCGATATCTCTCTCAAATAGACGGTTTTGGCTTAATAACTCATTCCTCTCATGCTCCAATGCATTCCTTTCATCATTCAAAGATAGAAGCAAAGATTCCGTTTGAATCTCCTATATATGTGAAAATTGAAAATGTGAAAAATCAGTGAGAAACCTTATTTGTTCTGAGTTCGACGGCTTTGCGTTCGGATTCTTCTTTTAGGATTTGTAAGCTAAGTATCTTCTCATTAATGCGATGAATTCTATCTTCATTCGTATCATATTCTATCTTCTTATCCTTACATGGAGATAACAGTATCGATTATGTAATGGATACTTACCTCTATCACTTTCTGTAGACTACTTATGTTTCTTTCTAATCCATCCACTTCACTATGTAATTCTTGGGCTGTCCGTTCTTCTTTCACATTCTGACGTCTCAGCAATTCCTCCGCTTCAGATTCGGCTGATTTTAAAAACTAAAATGGTTAAGCCGTTGTTATTAGAAATCCTACTTGATCTCTGTCTTTTATTTCTTTCTTCATGTAATCATACTGTTCGCAATCGATAAAAGCTGAGAAATCATTGTCAGATTTCAGATATTCGCTTTCTTTCTCCAACGTCTCCCGACGAGCATTCTGAACAGAAGAAGTGATATGCAGAATATATGGCATTGAAACTTCAATTGATTCTCGCATTGAGCCTCTTGTTGATATTCGTTTCTCGTCATCATCATAAGGAGCTGAAGACTTTTTCTTCCTTTTGAACGAAATGTCCAATCCATTCGATACATATCCTTTGTACAATGAGGGAGTTCTTAATTATATATTTTCAATAATGCATTTTTAATTATGATAATTATACGGTTGCATTGACAACAAGCTTATCTTAGCTTGTAATTTTTTTATTTTTCCTTCAATTCGCTCCTTCTTCGTCCGGAAATCAGCTAAGCTTATTTCCGATGTGATTAACTAGAAATATCAAAAATCATATGACTTCCTCGGCCTTACTTTATCGTCTAATCCAAGCCATATCTCCTCCAAGCTCTGTATTTGAGCTCTACGACCTTCAAGTTCTCTTTCATGAGTATAATGGTTGTTTTTCTCTGTTTGCATTTGTTCAACTTGTTCCTATCAAATATTAGTTTTAATCTTCTTTCCTTCTCCCTAATTATCATAAATTACGTGAAAGTTACGTGACATTACACAACTACGACGTGCATATCATTTATAAGAATGATGTGATGGTGATCGGTTGCATTCCAATTTTCTTCGAACTCTCACCTCTTTCTCTTGAATCTTTTGATAGCATTGCTCAATTTTTGATTTCAAATTCATCTGATTCCTCTTTTCCATTCTCATTTTCTTTTGTAAAGTACGTAAATCATCTTGAGATGATTTGATTCCTATAACTATTGCTATATGAAAGCTAGAATAACGGCAGGACTCGCCTATTTGCATGTGGTCGAGCTTTTGCTGCTGTTCAAAAACACTTTTAGCCGTTTGGCTTAAATATTCCCGTAAATCCTTAATATGATATAGTATATATGCTAATTGATTGGTATAACTCTTATTATGTGATCATCTTTAGTCAAAGCAGAAACCAAATGCTTTCTCTCCTCTTCGAGACTTTGTATTTTCATTTTAATAATAGCTTGTTTCGTATGAGTCTCATGATCTTAATGAATTCAATCTTTCAATTATCTAAAGACAAATTACCTGTCGACGAGAGACTTTGTAATCGAACATTCAAATTATTCAATTTCTTGTTCAACTCTTCATAGAGCATCTTCTCCTTCTTCTTTTCCAATCTCAGTTGGATAATTTCCTTTTTCCGTTTTTTATCCTCCAATTCACGTAACTTCACGTACTCCTTTTGGTTCTCCGATTCTTTTTCTAATAACGAAATGACATTCTTTAAAAAGAATTAAAATATTGGAAAGAATGAATTATAGAAACCTGTAATGATGATAATCTTTTATTTAATTCATCTGATTCTTTTGTCTCATTTGTTAATTCTACATTCAAAAATTATTTTTTCGTTTTCAACACTATCATCTTCACCTTCTTTGGACGTTTCGTATTTCAAGCATAATTCACGTAGAATTTTCTGTTTTTCTTCTGTCTTCAAAGTATTTTTTGTTAATTAATTGTTATTGAACTTGTGAGAACTTACTTGGCTTGTTAACTCAACATTGGCTGCTGGCAAGTGATGACCTTCTGATTGACCAATACGGGCAGTTATGAATCCTCTCTTTAGCCCGGCACTCATAATTAGATGTAGAATATAGCTGAGTACACTTTTATATATCTTGCTATACGTATAGAGCTTTGTTGCTATGAACGGTTGCTTCACAACACTCAAGCTCAGATTGAGTTCGAGTCGATTTTCCATTCCACCTGAGCACTTCCGGGGGGAGAAGTTTCAAGAAAGATTTGGTATTTAGAAAGAGTGAGAGAGAAAGAGGACAAGAGTGACAGGAATAAAGATATACATGTTCTTGTATATGTGTATAAAGAGAGAGAGAGAGAGAGAGAGAGAGAGGGAGGGAGAGAGAGAGAGAGAGAGAGAGAGAGAGAGAGAGATGATAGTAACTTTCCCTATTCTACCATTTTACCCAACGTCTAAGACAAAAGCAAAGTTCAATTATGGGATCATTGATTATTCTTGTCAGAAACTAACACGCCTAACATTTGAACGAACTTAAGCAAACAAATGAAGTTCGCAAAAGATTTCTGTTGAACAGAAAATATCTTTTTTAGTTTTATCTTTGTGAATGACGTCATGTAGCTATTGATCGAGACGAACAAGGTCGTCTAAGTTTCACGTAGAACCACGTGAGAGAATATTCAAATGTTGTACTCAATACCATATTATTAAATTTTATTCTTTTAACATAATTGATAAGAAATTTCTTATCATTTATTGATTTATTGATTGATTAATGGATGAGAAAAGTTTTTTTTGGCAAAACATAAAGGAAAAACCTGTTTCATTCCTTTTTTTGCTGTTGAAACTTTCATTTTTGTATGAAATATTGATTGAATCGTATTCGTTATGCAATTACACCTCTTGCTTTCATGAATTATTCGTTTTGACGATAAAAAATTAAAATTTGCAGCTTTCAGCCATGGCGTGGCAGGATGCATCCGAAACCCAGCAGTTTCTATTTTCTCAACTCCTTCAAAATTGTGATTCTGAGTTGGAAATGAAGAATTGGAAATCACAGAAAGCAATATCATGGGTAATTTTTTGTTAGTTTCATATTTTAATCTGTTCAAATATGTATAGTCTTCTCCTTCAACAAATTCATCAAATTATTCGGAGTGTAACTCTCCATTGTCAAGCATCAGTCAATCGAGCCAGTGTGCTGTTACAGAGGTAACAATCCCTTTTTAATCCGAGAAGATCAGTTTGTCCTGCTTTATTTACTTTTGGCCGCTTTCTATGATTTCCCCACGCAATCCATACGTGGCTCACGTCATTGGGCTTTATGGAGATATCGTTGAGCGGTTGTTTTCACGAATTTCTATTTCTTTTTTCCCTCTTCTATGATTTTGCCTTATCTTTTAATCATTCAGAATGATGAAAACTGCCGAGCAGTGGCAATCCAAACGCCAACTAGTAAGCGAATAAGAAATGTCCGGAGGAGTGACAAGCATTATTGTGCTGTGTGTGGTGACAAGGTAACGAACGCATGGGTTGGAAAATTGAAATTAATGAATATTCAGCCAACTGGCTATCATTATGATGTTCTGAGTTGTAATGGATGTAAAACGTTTTTTCGAAGAACAATTATCAATAAGAGACAGTTCAAATGCTCTAAAGGAGGGAAGTGCGACTTCAATAAAGGTGTTTCTTAAATTAATTTTCGAATCATTTTTTCTATTATTTTAAAGATTTCCGTTGCGCATGTCGAGCTTGTCGTTTCCAGAAATGTATATTGGTCGGTATGAATGAAAATGGTAAGTAATTACAAGTAATAGTTTCCTAAAAGCGTTGCCAGCAATTCAATTTCGGGACAAAGATGAAGCTGATTCTTCGATGGAGAATGCAGCTGAGTACTTTGTGGTTCCAGTGTTCAAGAGTTTTATAAAGTATGAGCCCGATAAGTTGGATGGGTTCAAGGCTCTGTCTATTCTTGTGAGTGTTCAGGATTGATGAAGAAGAAACAGTTGATAGATTTTCAGGTTCAAAGAGAAAGCTTTTCCCAGTCAATTCGTAAGCCAGGATACCCTATTGTTACAAATCATAAGTTATCTACTATTCTTAGCAATCCCAACATCATAGGATCAAATAGAATCAAAGTGAGTATCATCATTCGTAACACAATTTTAATATTTCTAAAATCATTTTGAAGGATACTAGTGATGATAAAGCTTGGAGACAGGAAGTGTACTGCCAAAATCCGATCAAATTCTGGATGATCGCTGATTTGTTTTTATCCGTAGAATTCGCGAAAACATTCAATTCGTTCAGAAAATTAACTCTCAGAGACCAGGTCGATCTATCTCATTCGCTCCCTTCAACTATAATCCTTTTTAGAATATATTATTAGGAGAGATAGGTGGAATTTTACAAATTATATCTCAGTCCTATTACTCTATTATGGCAAAATCAGATAGTATGGTTTTCCCAGACGGAATCAATGCACTCCAATTCCGATTGAAAAACGGGTATGAAATGGCCAAATGATGTTGGAAAGGAACATTTACTGTAATTTCAGAGTTCAAAGTTATGAAGAATATTATCGAACAGTTTATTGCAAACCTGTTGCTATGTTGAGAGAACTCGAATTAAATGACTCAGAATATGTTTTCTTCAAAACACTCGCTCTATTTAGTGGAGGTTTAGTTTGGAATGTGTTGATAGAAACAATTGTTTGATATTAGATTCTCCCGAAATGTCAGAAGAGGGACGAAAAATAATTGGTTCTGCACGAGTGAGAGTTCTCAGTTATCTACGAGATGTAATATTGACCTACATGTTCTGAATGACTTTGTTCTATTATTCAGCACCTCATTCATCAACATGGGCTTCCATCCGGAGTGAAGAAGTTTGGAAAGATTGTGACAGCTTTAACGTCTTTTTTCGATGTCTCGGAGAAAAGAAGGACATATCTCGAGGTAAAACACAATGTTTTTGATGAGGTTATAGAAAGAACAATCACGAACAGCGTTTTGGATTGAAAAGCTCAGGGTTCGATCAAGACTAAATATATTATCTTTTACGAAAACTGAGTCAACTCTTTTTGATGATAAATCCCTACATAACCAGAATCTATCCCCTGGCCATATGCGTACCTTGATATTCTCGATTAATATGTCTATATGGGATCCTATAACCAAAATACCGCTTTTGGCATCCAACCTTCTATACAAATATTTGAAAACTCATTCATGTCTCAAATGGATCGAGGCGCTTATGTTTTACTTCTTCCAGGTTTGCCACTTGATCTCGAGGATATCTCTATCACCAATTTCGAAATCGATATTTCTGAAACAGCAAGAATAATCATATCTTTAATTTATCATTTCTTTGCTCATACCAGTTTTAAAACACATAATAATAGCTGTATATTTTTCACTGTACCATACCCAGAATAGATTAAACTTTTCGAGAATTACTAACTGATCACTATCTCCCAATTGAGAAGTGAACAGACTCAAGAATATTTTTTTTAAACTTTGTACCAGTTCGACAAACACTTTTCGCTCTGAATGTTGGAGATATGATGAGAACTGAGAAGAAATACGGGGATGAAACATTAACACAGAGTATATTCTTAAAAGAATTCTTCGCAGGGCCATCAGAGTTAAAAAGCAATTACCACCAGGATAGTTGTCTGGATACTAGAAGTCATCATGAGCCTAATA